CACTGGTAGCCTCAACACAAACGCCTTACAAATTGCTGTTCTACAATGTCGTAACACGCCTGATACCGTTACGAAATTATCACCGGCCCAATGCGTCTTCGGTAGACCCAATAAATATTTCATACCAATTTTCCCCGGCCGTTATAGGCCACACGCAACCTGGAGCGAAACACTCGACGCTCGAAAGGAGGCTTTACGAAACCGGCACATGTGAGCGGGGAAAAGTTGGTCAGAACACACAAGAAGATTACCACCTCTGTCCATTGGACATCACGTAAGAATACAGAACCAAGCAGGACCGTACCCTACGAAATGGGACAAGACTGCAACAGTCATCAAAGTCCTTCAACACGAACAATAATGCGTCAAAGTCGACGGGTCTAATAGAATCACACTAAGAAACAGAAAATTTCTCCGTCAATTCACACCTGTACCAGAGCGGCCACCCAAATATACTATTGATACGGACCTTCTGCTGATACCAAAAGTCTCAACGGAGATCCTTACTCCCAACAAGTTGACACCAGCCAACAGAAAACCAACACCGTCATTACCCCGTCTAGGACCGGCGACACAGACTGATATCCCGGAGCTAGCACAACTACCGAACATAAACACCGCAGATGGAACTTCACCAAACGTAACCAAGATACTTGAGGATGAAAAGAGAGCCTACACCAGCGACCACAAAGCCTAGCAAGAAAGCACCACTAGCTCTACGCAGATTACTCTATTTCAACAAGAAAGGCCTGCTAGAAAATTGAGAGGATGAACAAATATGAAAGAACAACTTTATATTACGCTTTCCTATACTAGAAAAGACTTTGGGAGATACAGCATAATGGGATAATCGTTGATTAATAAGGGTCCTGGACCCAACTGTTATTGTTGTTTGTCATTCGTAAACGAATGACCTCTGTATTTTGTCTCTCAATATATATTTTACAAGATCCTCATTTCGTGAAATTGACTAAGTCTTATCTAGATACTGCCATAGAAGAAGCTGTAAGAGTTTGTAAGGGAGACATTGAAGTAGCAGTTCCATCTTTGTTGGATCACAGTAAGTATTTCATCGTTATATCAAGTTCCATGTATCATATTATCAATACATTTTGTTCGTAGCATAGACTCCATTGAGGCTGAATGGTGGTGTGAAAAGGCAAATATTTATTTTTCATTTTTTTAATAACTACCTCCAGATAACGAATGAATTAAATTGTTTATACATGTAACTTCAATTATAAAAGCAAAGGAATGTTACTTAAAGAGGAGATGCCTAATTATGGTGCATTTGATAGCGCAGACTCAGATTCAGAAAATCTTTAGCAGGCAACAGCAGTTCTTCTGCGAAAAAGTACAAAGTAGTTAATAGGTACATACATGCTGCTAAACACTCATAAGTGCAACATAATTGCAGCATTTATCTTAATTATTTTCAAAAGAAACGAGTTGTAAATGATTTGACATAGTTTTCTTGATTAGTTAAAAATGATGCTTTGCTTCATGCATGACTTTTAGCTTGTTGTTTTAACTGGCAATATGCTCCTGCAGCACAATTTGGTCTCAATATGAACATGCCTAATGTGATTTTTGCATGTTGTACTTAGGTGTAGAAGTTGTGATATTGGTAAGCTTAGTCTAGCACATACTTGCTGGGTTGTATTGCTACATTAACCATTTGACTGGTTTTCTATTTAAGAACAAAAGAAGACAGTCATTGAAGAGTATCGAGATGCTACAATTGTCAGTGACAGTCCAGTTTTTCGAGTTTATGTCAACCACATGGCAATTAACTTTGCCAATGACATTTTGGGAATTTACAAGAATCACTGTAGTAAGTTGTGTGCTCGATTCAGTGTAAAATTTGAAGACGAAACTTCAGTTGGCAGTGGTCCTATGCAAGAATTTTTTAGCCTAGTAATAAAAATGATTCCTGGTGGTTTTCCACTGGATGGTGAACAAAGGCCCAAAACTCTTGTTTTTGAAGGAGAAAATGACCATAAAGTTCCTGTAGCCAACTCACTTTTGAGAAGTACAGGCTTCTATAAGTGCATTGGAAGAATTATTGCACATTCTTTCCTACATGCTGGATCACCAGTATTTGGAATCTCTAAAGTAGTTGTTGATTATTTGGTATGTGACAAAGATGAGATTCCTTTAATAGAAGTTGTGGATATAACTGACATTGACCTGAAGATTCCATTAAATGAGGTTTGAAACGCTTTATTGCATCTGAGCATTGCATTTCAGTATTTTGTTTGAGCTAATCATCTGCTTTATGTCATAGTTGAACAGCCTTGGCAAAGACGAAGCTCCTGGAACTGCATTGAAAGATGTTTTAACTCAGTACAGAGATGAAGCGTCAATTTTAGATACATCATTCTCTGGTGCAAATCGTCATGTTATTGCCCAGCAAATCATGTTACATGCTGTCATTACCCGTGGAAAAGATCTAGCTGATGGAATGAATGAGTTTGGACTGGTTGATTTCCTGAAGAAACACAAAGATATTGTTTAACCACAACTTTTCCCACAATCAACTGCTTCTCTTATTAAGAAAAACAGCTTAAAAATAATTATTGAAATTGAAGAAGAAGAAGAAGAAGGCGTTCATTGTAATCAACTAATGTTGTTTTTGAAACAATACATTGATGGGACAACTAGTGGTAAGTGTTTTGGTAGAGGGATGCAGGGAAGGTTGTAAGTAGTTGTAGTCAGTCTATGTATTGGTTTTTTGTGAGAATATGGTTTGTTTTTTAATATTTGCACCACAACTGATTATATATTATATGCTGGAGCAGCAGTGACTTTATCTGTTTGAACAATATCAATGTCAGTAATATTTTCTTGCTTTTAAATTTGACCTTTGTTTTCTCCAAAAAAAACTTAAATGTTTGACTGTTTGAGGTACTAGTTATATTAATACTTTAATACCTGTCCATTCCTAGGGGCAAATCTTAAAGATCTGTTGTCTTTTTGGACTGGGTGTGATTTACTGCCTGCAAATGGTGTAATCCTGCATCTCAAAGTTGACAGAACAAAAGATCGTAATCTGCTGCCAGAAAATAGAACTTGTTTTCATTTGTTTGTTCTTCCACGTTATGAAAACTTCGATGAACTGAAAGCTAAACTGGATAGAGCTTTGCAATTTGGTTCAAGAGGGTTCACCAATATTTGATCTTGGAATAGTTTATACATTTCTTTCAGCAATAACATAACTTGTTACAGCTAATATAAATGATGAACAAAATTGAAATATTTTTATTCTTTTTTTTTGGATATCATTTTTATAGTTAAACACTTAAAGTGAATATGTTATTGTTTCATTAAATTTTGTTCTGGCAGTGCATCAGCATTTATGTGCTAAAAAACGTTTTCTGCTAAAATGTTTGAATGATGAACATAATGAAAAATTTATAGCCTTCTTTGATATACATATCTTGTTTTGTATTATCTGAATTGACACCAATGAACAATAGGTTAAGTAGCTTTTCTTCTTTTGTGAGTTCACAATGTTACTCGTCCTCTTGGTGCAGTCTGGTATTTACAAACTGAAGCACCTCAATGTATATGTCAGCTCCATTATTATTAGAAGGCGTTAAATGATTAATGGTTCTTTGCAGCTCATCAAGATTTATTTCATTCAATGGAATGTTGATTTCTGGAACAATCACTTGCTGCTGATCTGATTATTTGTGCTACAGCGATTAAATAGCAGCAAGCGTGAACAGCCGTCTATTCCTGCATGAGTCACAAATCTCCATCTAAAAATATGAAACTATTAGCACATTTGTATGCAAAACTAAGATTTATTAACGATCCAAAATAGGTATTTTTTAGTAGCCCACCTAATCAATTTGTGTTTGCCATCAACATGCCAAAGTAATAAGGGGCTAGTAACATTACATGTTTGTAAATGTCGATCGTCCAGGTTGGTATAGTCGTGAGAAGGACTGTTTTTGTTGTTGTTGACTGACGTTTCGACAACCTTAGCTGTAGTCATCTTCAGAGTCAAATGATCTTCGTTTACTTCATACATTGGTCACCCTGGTGTGCCACTTAAAACTTGAGAGCAGTTCAATGAAGAAGATGGATTAATATCATGATGAACATCGACATTTAAAAGTTTATTTGAGTTTGAGATTAACTGCAGAACAGCCTCTTCAAGCTCGAATAATTCAGAAAATCGCAACGTAGTATTGTAAAGAGAATCAATACGAAAAACGCAAAAATCCCGATTTGGACTTCCTTCGAGATCAGCAATACAACTTAAAATAGAGTTGCGAAGGAGTCCGTACTTAAAAAATATGTTTTCAGTTTGGACCTCTCAGTCGCAGCCAATAATTAACGTATATATATATATATATTGTGCTGCAGTCGAATTGTTATATCCTTTATTGACTGAGTTGAATGCGATAGAAATAAGTTTTTGTTTTCTCGCTTTTTGGTTTGACGTTGAAAATAAAATATTGGTCACAGCGTTCATATACCTTGGGATTGCAGACTGTAAGTATTTTGAAGTATCTAGCTAGATTTTCCAAGCAAGAGATGATCACAAACGACAGGTAATTAAGAAAAATTATTTTTGTTCTGATCTTGCGGAAATCAATTTTAAAACTGCATGGATTTTGTTCGATCCTTCTGTAAACTACGTTTTTGTAATTTCATAATTAGCTATGTTCATTTGTGCGTTATTTATAATTGATGCGAGAAAATTAGTTTTTGTTCTGTGCGATTTGAATGTTCGTCAAGTATTTCGGATTTGGGAAAATGCGCTATTACAAAAATCAATGTTCAAGCAAGTTTCTTTAGAAACGTTATATGCCGTACTTGCAATGAATGCACCTCTTAAATTTTTCCTTTAATACACGGTAAAGCTCTTGAACCCAAGCTGTGTGTTAAATAATAACTTAAAAAAACCTACGTGACAACGTCATTTGCATGTCAAATGTCAACATTGCAAGTGGAATAAAAGAAGAATTTATTTGTGTATTGGTAAATACACTTCAGTTAGAAGTTGTGCTCACAACACTACTTTTTCATATTGTAACTCTATATCGGTGATACTGAGTTCGGTTTTGTCTGCATTTTCGACATACACGTGAAGACACACACGACATACACTATAAAATTAACGTTGCATTCTTGTGACCAGCTGTTTTGGAAGTATTGTTGATGAGAACCGGCAAGTTTTAGTCAAATGATAAAATGGTTTCTCCTGAGGCAGTGATTCACTCCGACGGTAATAGTTCGAGTGAAATAGACGATGATGTTTCCTACCCCAATGCAGAGCCCGTGATCGATCTCAATTCCGTCGGCGATGCCTGGTTGATTTTATTCAAAGTTCACTGGATAACGTTTTCAATATGTTTTAGTCTTTTAGCATTGTATAATGGCTATCAGTTATACAAGACATTCCGCCTGAAGAGCACGACGAGGAAGAACTACATCAGTATTGTCCAAGTTCTTGTCATATTATTCGGATTGACCAGAACGCTGTCTTTAAGTATTTCGCCTTACGATATCATGAGCAACACACCAAAACGCGTTCCGTACATTGTGCCTCGCTTGCTGTTTGCCCTTGGCTATCCTTGCCTTTTTTCTGGGTTCACATTTATGTACAAGATTTTTATGTTACTCAGCAAAGTTCAGGTTATGAAGAAAAATCCGATCGGAAGCAGAGTGGTCACTGTAATTCTTGTCTTGCATTTTCTTGCGGTGATTTCTGTGGAATTTCTCACAAGATATGTTAAAGACGTGGAAGTGCTGTTGGTTTTTTGTGCCTTTTATTACTTCTTTGGATGTTTGACTACCGCACTTTGTTTACTTATCAGTGGAAGGCGTGTGCTAAAAAAAGAGAGAACAATTCGGAAATCGCTTCATAAATTTGACGACTCCAAAGCTCACCACCGCGTATCACCAAATGGTCTAACGGCAAGGAAAAAAATCTTAAGAATTACACTCTTGACGGCCGTATTTGGTGTGCTATCTGCTCTGTCCTATAGTTACACCATAGTTCTGGTGATTAGATCTGTCAATGGCGATACATTTTTTCTAGAACCTTGGACATGGCTCATCGTAAACAATTTTTTGAGGATTTTCGAGTTCTGCTTAGCAGCAACTATGAGTTACGCCGTTGCATCGAGTTATCCACGCAATGCCCGTGCGGCAAAAGCTTTATATAACACAAAAAGTAGCTACGCTTCCACCATCAGTGTTAGAGGAGAGTCTTCCTTGTGATACAAAGACAAATAATACATTTGACTTAAGCAACATAATGGTAAAGCAATCATAAAAGTATATATGTGTAAATTCTCTTAATGATTCAGCATAACAGTACCTTTATTTGTACAACAAAACAGTTCTCCCGGCTTTGGTCAGTATAAAACCCTCTGACTTATTTATTTTATGCTTCGTTAAACAGACTTTCTCTTCGACCAGAAATTATTTGTCATTCTCATCATTATAATGATGAAGGGTATAGCTAATAAGATGTCATAATGATTCCCCCAACCGAACAAGCTCTTAAACAAGTGCTTCTAAAATCGATGATTCTAAAAGCAAATGAGTACCAAATTTCTTAGTTTTCCTGAGATTTTTGTAAGCCATGCATCTGTTTTAGTATGTATTGAATTGTTAATTACAAATAAGCAAAGTTTTGTATGATTAATTTTGATACGTGCGAGAACATCATTAATGATGCTTTCTATGTATGTTTATATTTGTGTCCTATTCAGACAAACCAGAATATCAAACTTATGTTACATAAAAGGACAACGGCGTCGCGTTGTCATGATTTGTTAATAAACACGACTTTTTGTCTCTTGAATTAATTTTATTTATTTTGAAACCTGCAAGAATATCATTCGTAATGCTCTATATGTGTCTTTATTATGAAACTGTGTCCTATTCATGCAAACCAAGATGTGGAACTTTCTTTGTTTCAGTGGACAATGCATCAGGTTGTGATGAACGTGACTTTTTGTCTCTTGAACTAAGTTTTTTAAATTCTGCGGCTTTTGTTATGCAACTACCAACGTATATTTTACATTTTTTGCTGCAATCTTTATATTCTTCATTAACTGGGCTTAAATATAAAGAAGTTGGTTTTAGTTTGCTGACATCTTGGTTTGAGGATTGAAAACAAAAGATTGGTCATTGCGTCAATACTTTGAGATGATTGTAACCTTTTTGAATGCAGAAATGTCATCAAGAAAGTGATAATCGCAAACGATAGGTCAATTTTTGTTCTAATTTTATGAAAATGTTCTGTCAGAAATAAATTTTTGAAATGCTGCTTGGAATTTGTTTTAATAGATGTTTCTGCATGGAAAGTACGTTATTATAATTTTATTATTATTTTATTTGCAATATATGTAAACTATGATTGATGCGAAAATTGAATTAAAACTAAACTGTTTTGTGCAATTCAACTATTTATTGTCGGAAGTTTGTAAAGCCCTTTGAATTAGAACTTAACCCTAGGTTAACATATTATTTTCGCAAATAAAACAACTCATGATAGAATTTGCTCTTCATTTCCCATCTAAATTGTGAAAGACGATATTGTCTACGTAGATAAAATACTAAAGGTTTTTACGACAGTGAGATAAAAGGCAAGAAATAAAGTTTCCATATTTTCGTAAAAGCACTATTGCCAATACACATTTAATATAAACGACAATTTTTTTGAAAATAGACATGTTTCGACATCTCATGATGCCATCTTCAGTATGAATAAAATAATAGGTGATACAGGGTTTATATGTAAGTAATATGATACATAAATTAGAACAATAAAAAGGAAATAAGATAATATAATGAGGAGCGTCCGAGCGTATTATAAACTAAATATTGTATTGAATTTAAAAACTTGAACATTGAGGTCAGGGTTAGTTTTGTTAATGTGGAGTGCTTCTTTCACCCTTAAAATCAAAGAAGCACTCCACATTAACAATGTCCTGTCATTGCAAATTATAATTAATGTTGCGTTCCAGTCATTCAATCAAATTTTTTGGTGTTGAAAAATTGTTTTTTTTTTGTTTTATTGTAGTTTGTTGTGGATATGTGAAGGCTAAAGAACAGTGGGTACAAATAAAAAATGCCATATCCCCATTTGTTTGTCACAGTTGATGACCAAGAAGGAAAATCTGAAGAAATTTTAAGAAAAGAGATTGGTGATAAGTTTGGATGGAAGGCTTCAAACTTCATTGAATTGAAAAGTAAATCATTGAGAGCACCAAAGTTTCGACTGTTATCAAACCTCCGTGTTGAGGATACTACGTTGCTAATAAATGGCAACCTGCACTTTGGAAATATCAACAGTTTTGTTGACAACAATAGTTCTCCAAGTAACAGCTCTGGTGGCTCTCTAACAATGATCTGTCGTAACAATGAAAAATATTACGCTTTAACTTGTACACATGTTGCTTGCGTTACAGACCAACTTTGTGCCTTCAAAACGTTTGTCAGGGAAATGAGATTTTTATCATAATTGATAACGTGAATGCCAGAAAAGAAAATGACGGTAATAAGTATTTCTACCAGCCACTAAACTGTGACGAGGAAAAACAACTGGGTACTTTCCCATGTGACGCCAGGGGCGGATCTACGGTATGTCAAATCAGTCACGCGACTGATGTTTATATAGTTCAAAAATTATTTATCAAAATTAATGGTTACAATTTTTTGTGATCATTAAATTCCCGTTCTGTAATCGTTTGGATTTCATCGTCAAAATTCTGTTTTATAAATGAAAACTTATATAAATACCACCTTAGTAAACAGATCAGTAGATTTTAACATGTCTAGAATTATATTAACTGGCTGACTGATAAGCTGGTGGCTCGACTGGCTCAATCATAACAGAGTTCAAGAATCCTTATTTAAGCCATTACATAGGTCATTAGCCAGATCAGTGGACGATCTGGAATAATCTCGACCGATAAGCAGGGTGGCCAGACCGATAAGGAAGTCCAATTGCTATCGTGTAATTGGTACGTTTAAATTTTTGATCGTTTCATAGTAATTTTCTAAAGCATGATATAAACTACAATCAGATGTAATTTAGGGAAATCTTCACAAACTCATACATTGAAGTGAATGCTGCTGTGCAGGCTGTGAATTTTTTCAAGAGGGTGAACAATTCATTGATGAATTGTAATTAAATGCTTGGCAAAGACGATCTCGCGAGAGACATTTCAATCATTGATGTTCAAAAGCAAGCCATCATTATTTAGAGTTCTCTCAGCAGAAATTTGCATCCAAAATCGTAAGTAAAGGACAACTGAAGTGCATGCATGACTGTAAATTATTAAAGTAAATTTATGCGAGTGTGTGATGCGATGTATGTCAATATGGCGTATGGTAAGCAGATAGATGCTTCTAGAATTGTTGTTGCCGAACGACTTTTAGCTATGATTTCTTTAGTGCTTGGGGAATCTTGGCCGTTTTATGGCAGCAAAATTCTACCTTCCTTCAAATGTTTTTCAATGGACAAAAAACTGAAGCCATAAGGTGCCATGCTATTATTTACCATATTAATACAAATATTTGGGGCTGTTCAGTTTATGATCATTGATCATTCAATCATTGGATAGTTATAATACACATTTACTATAAACTGTGATTATGAGTCTTTCTGATCCACAAAGCTTTTTATTTTGACGATTTGACTGGAATGGTATTAAACCTGTGTATTTCACATACATGAATTGTTGCCCCATATCACATATTGACCCCTTTTGTAACTGAACACCTCATGTAGAGATGTCTAGGTGTGTTGATCTATGGCTCATACCACATTGTTTGCCAGAAACTCCTAAGGGCTATTGATGTATGAAATAAATTTTCTATAAAGTAAAAATGTGTTCCTAGGTATGCAGATAAACCTTGAAATTTGGCAAAACAATAAAGTATTTTTCATGATCACTAGGTAATTTTTCTGATGATTATTATAATTTCTAAACTAAATTATTTCAGATTTACATTTAATCGAGCTTTGATCATATGAAAATATATTTATCATGACCAGTAAGCATGACACATGAACCAATTTTAACATTCATGTAATTATATGATTAAAGGCCTGTTGGTTACATTCTGTTTGTATTGGCAAATACAATGCTACTGGTAATTGATATATAGCACACCTTGAATATACTTACAGAAGATAATAATCTTGTGAAATGCATAATAATCATCAATGGCATTAAGCTGTCCTTAATTGCAAATTTTCACAATTTTATAATCCTTGTTTAATCTTTGGCAGAAAAATATTTTGAGTTTTTTCTCCAAAGGTGAATTTCCTGTACTGTATATGGAGATGGGTAAAGGGTTACAATAAACTTGCATGGTTTGAAGTCTGACCTTTTCTACATCTATGAACTGTCCCTTGTAATCCCTCATTTCTAACTTAACACATTACATATAGGTTTGAATGGGGTCTCTAGGGGGGTTTATGCCTGACAACTTGGTAGAAATATTTTTTTTTAAAAAAAACGTAAGCAAAATGTGTTGTTTTTACGCAAAAACGATGACACATAAACAGTTTGTATTGCTCTAAAACGCTGAAATGGCATTTCCAAGGCTTTGAAATTCAGAAGAGAATGCCTCGGACCCTCTCAGTTGCGGAACGCCTCCGGCGTTCCATGACTGATGTTTGAAAAATCCTAGATCTGCCCCCGTCTGACGCAATTAGTAAGTTGAACAATGAAGTTGATAAGATGTTATTCCAGTCGGAAATAAAGACGATTTAAAGCGTCTTGGTACAGATGACATGGAGAGTTTTGCTTTGAGATTAAAAGAAGCAAATAAGGAGCTTTATCATAGAGTGGATAATGGCAAGGATTTTGTGTATGTTTGTACAAGTACTCACATTAAAGGCTTAATTTGTCATCGAAACTATTCTTATGCATGTGAAAATCAAGAAAAACCATTTTCATAAATGTCGTGAAGGTAAAATGCGATTATCAATTTCTTTAGGACGGTGATTCAGGAGATCTTATTTATTTCAAAGATAGAAAGAATAGTTGGCAACCATTTGCGTATGGTGTGTGCGAAATGGGTGAAGAATATGACATTTCTTTTGGTCCAGAGAAAATTTATAAATACTTAAAACTGGATAAAGTTTTAAAGGTGCTCGATTTGAAAGATTGTGAATTCTTCTAAGAAACAGATACTAATAATCACGAAAATTCATCTGATGAAGGTAAATCACGGCTAATTGCTAATTGTATCTAAATATACTTCTAGAATTTGATGCAAAGAATTCTTCTCGGAATTTTTTTCTATGCAAAAAATATCAACAAGGCAGATTAGATTTGCGACAATCTTTCTCCAATGTTTTCAGTGGTGTTTTATCGTCAATAAAATAACAATGTTTTTTGTCTTATACTAGCTTTTTTTAACAATGGATTTTTTCTCAAAAATTTGAGAAATCTTGCTTTTGTCGTGAATCATTTTAACACTTTGTTTACCTATTATAAATCTTTACGTGATGAAACTTTTCTTTTCTAGTTTTCATTTTATTTTACTTTATAGATGTCGACTATTGAGCTCATAAAGGATGCTTTTTCATTTCTCGAAAATATCCACACAACCTTTCAAACCTTTCAAAAAGGGCTGTAAATAATTTTTAGATGTTTAGTAATTTTAAGGATTTGCAGAGCAAAATTTTTTATGCCATTGTCTGTTTAATGCGAAAACATGTGAAAGAGGTAATTTATTCGAGAAATAAAAAATTTTAATGCCTGCTATTATTGTGGCTTTTGGCCAAAAGAATTTGATCAGGCCAGACGGCTATGATTTTGTCAACTATTCTAAGCTGGCATGTGGAAGATGTTTTGTGCTTGAATTTAAACACATCTTTTCCTGTCATGCATCTGTAGACATAACAGAAAAGGCAGTTCTTATTAACAGTAACCCTGAAACAAGTCAGACAAATTAAACTGTGGCGTAAGTTTCAATCGTACATTTTGTATATTAAATGACTTTTTATGAGACCTGTATCAATAATCAAAGTACTGTGGCATGCATCCATACACTTAAGTCATGCACATAGCTATTTTTTTAAAGTTCCTGTTTAAGGTATCTCTATTTTACCAACTCCTTAATGTAAGTTGTTTTAAAGAAAAACTTTGAAAAAATTGATAAAAAGTTGTGTAAAGCGGACATTCCATAAACTTCTATATCCTGAGAATGAAAAGTGATATAAATGAACTGTTTAGAATATATTGTAATTTTCAAACTTATGCTCAAAGAAAATATTATCTAAACTGCATAATTTTTGTTTCATATGCTCTTTAAGTCCATGATATATTATTAGAATGTAAAAATGAGAATATGGAATTTTCATTTATGAAATTGGAATTTCGTATATGAAATTGACACATTTCATATATGAAGTGTTTCAGATTCACATAAGTTTCACATATCATTTCATATGTGAAAACAAATGTGAAATTTTCGCAAGGGCTTTAACATTACACATCCTCTCAAGGAAGTTTCAGGAGGCTATCATCCAAACATTGCCTCAAAAAAGAGAAAAAATCAGTATGCGGCTATTTTAAATATATTTCACACATTCTGTGTAATGTTTGGGCTGCTGTATGGATTAGCAATTTGAATGTCATGCATTCGATCAAGCATTAAGTAAATTGTAGGGGTTCAAACAACTATTTCCGCTGTAATTCTACAAATGTTGGAATTTCCCTTTAGTTAGTCATTTGCTTTGATATAAATGGTTTTATAATTGAGCATTTCAAGTATGCTCTGCATTATTCATCCCAACCTCCGAAAGAAATAATCAGCTTTTGTAGCATGATTCTCACGATAAATTCTGTCTGGAGAATGTGTAAGGTTACTTAGGAAAGCAAGAAGTAAGTATTACTGTTGTTTATTTACATACCTATATACCTATATATTGATAATAAGAAGAAATTACACAAAAAAACTACAATTTCATCCCGACAAGGCTGTTTCGTGATTTCTCACTCTTAGGGGATAATATTAAATGAATTAGCAATTGTAGTTTTGTGTACTTTCTTCTTCTTACAATATTTACGCCCTGCTTCAACGCATCGAATACTGTGATTACGGAAATTCAAATAAACAATACTTTCTATATATACCTATATACGTTCGTAAGACAAAACTTGCTATGTAATTGTGCCGGAAAAATCGTTGTCGCAACTGCTTAAGAACGCAATATTTTGGATTTATTTGTAAATTGCAACATTTTCTAAAATCTTATTTACGGAAGAAGTGAATTTAAACTTCAACCAAGTTTCAATTCTTGTGTGAAGACGCAACGATTTCCGTTAGATAAGTTTTGTTTAATTGATGACGCAGTTTTGATATTGGACAGTTTCTGTCTGCCTAATTTGTCCATTAGAGATGATTCTTCCTTAAAAAACAGTAAATTTATAGTTTACTGTATGTTAAACTTTGATTTACGAGAAGAAGTAATTAAATTGATTACGTTGCATTTTCTATATTTAAACAATTATTTATATACGAGTAACGTTAGTTCATAATGTAAGGAAGACAAGATTATAGACAATATAATGTAAGGAGGATAAGATGGAGCGAGGATCTTTCATTATCAAACAGAAACATTCGTTTGTATGTTTGCCGCAAAATTTATTTTGACGTTCTTTCACGGCTCGTTGCAACACGTAATAACCTTCAGCATCGAAGTTTTCAAGTGAGGAGTGAATTGCTCAAAAGTTTAAACATAGGGCAAGATAGAGTGTGCCTACTAAAACAATACAACGTTCTGTATGTACAAAGGCAATTGATACAATATATATTATATACTTGTATATATTATAGCTTATAATTAAATTATATGAATCAAGTTGTAGCCCAAATATTGGTTGTTCCTAAATTAATTTTTTTTTGTTTTGAGACGTAAAATTTCTTTTAAATCTGTTTAGTTGCTCCATATGAGCTGGTTTGCACTTGTTCATAGTTCAAAAACGCGCTGCTTAGAAGCGATACTTACGCATTAACTACAGTACATCAATATTCTATAAGTCTTTTTCCTGATGCGATAGCATTATACGATTTGGCTATGTGTGACTCATTTTTGTCATTTCATCATGTTAGTTTCAATAACTAGCTATGCGACTTCACTGGGCAATCACAGGAAAATCACATGGCTAAATAGCAGCTTATATTTTATTGCTATTTTCGCACATAATTAAGTATTCATCTGTAGAGTATGTTGCTGTGAATGCCATATGTTTGTAATAATTTGCCAAAAAATATATTTCCATTTACTTCTCTCACAATGAAAATAATAATTGTTTTATATACCATAATACTGACAAGCAAAGTAAATGGTTGTACCAATAAGTTTTCAACGCTGCCTTTTTGCGTACAGGCTGCTGCGATGCTCTGATAAAACATCGGATGCTTCAATACATGCATGAATGTGCTGAGTTGACGAATTTCAAAAAATTAAGAGTAACAATTTTGCTAACAAATCTATATTGTACTAAGCATGCATCATCACTAGTGATTCTTAAAAATGTTTGAAGTTTGACGCTGTTTTTGTAAAGATAGCTTATAGGAAAGGGAAAGTGTATGTTTTATTGTTTTTTTGTTGCATCAAGTATTTCGATCTGCGATCTGCGTGATGAATAACTACATCATGTAGAGACACTCGCAATGAACCATTTTTCTCATATTTTGTGATGTGTATTTGATTTATTTTACTTTCAGCTGAGCTATGTCTCTTGCTATTGTTTTATACACTTTCCAAGGAAGAGCTGTGGATGAGCTTTCAGTTGAAAAAAACGAGATATTGGACGTTGTTGATAACAATGATGAAAACTGGTGGAAGGTGAGGAATCTGTATGGTCGAATTGGATTGGTGCCTGTAAATTACTTGGCAGCCCCCCTTCCTGACCGAGCAATTGCGATCATATCTCGCGGACGAACCTTAGCTAGATATGAGAGCGAAGACGAAAATGTACTATCAGTTTACAAAGGACAACAAGTTACGATTTTCGATAAAAATGATGACTATTGGTGGTACGTTGGAATCAAGGGGCGAATTGGCTACCTACCTGAGAAGATAATAAAGGAATTAAAAGTAAGTTTCTTTAAAGATGACCATAATATTTTTGTGATAAGCTAAAGGTTTATATATTATTCATTATTATAGCAATCTAACGGAAACGATGAACAAGGTATGAAGCCTTAATGCAGTTGGAAAATAAAAGTGGCTGTTTTGATGATTTGTTTCATTTGAAAAATCTTTTTGTTGTTTTTTTGAACTATAGAACAAAAAAAGTTTTCATTACCAGAAATTGTGCCTTCAAAAGCTTTATGTGACGTAAGTGCTTAAGTTTGCAAAACTTCAAATCACAAAATGTTATTAGCTAATACTGCTTCTCAATATACTAAATTACTATGGTCTAAATCAGCTATTGTTAAAACTTTGCTGGACAGAGGGTGCTTTCATGCATGACAGAAATTTACATAAGTGCGTGTTGTCAATATAGTTCAGTTTGTAGAAAAAAATGCTCATTGTATAACAGCATGTTGGCTTTTAAATATTTTCAAAATTATGTTTCAGTAAACCACGTTTTAACTTACCCGGCAACAGTAGTTATTTGCATTAGTCTTTTTTGTTCTAATTTTCATTAAGAAAAAACTATATTCTAAAGTAAATTGTTTTTCCATGTCCAGGAAGAAACTGCTGTCCTTTTCTCGTTTCAAAAACCTCTTCCATCAAAGGGGCAATATTTTGTTACCTTTAAAGGCGAACATAGCGAATTAACTGTTCTTGGTAAACTGCTCAATACTTTCACCTTAAAGATCAGCACGCCAAGTAAGTATATTTTTTCATGATTACAAATGTTTTTGAGATATATGCCTTGTTTTTTATGTTAAAATTTTATTCAAGATGTTAAGATTTCTTTAAATGTCATTTCTTTTTACAATATTAATAAAATATCAAATGTTTTCTAGTTTATTATCCTGCAGAAAAAACAAAAGTGACTATTACTTATCAACAATCTGGATCCCCACAGCAGCTCATCGCCAAGGGAATTGATTTCATGTTCGAATCTAATACAGATATCGTTTGTCACATATTAGAAGCGGAAGGAGTTTCTTTGGATTTTGTTCAACAGCTACTTGAAGGCTTTGACAGCGGAAAATCTGAGATGCCAAAAAAAGGAAAAAACCGGGTAATAATCTGTCCAGAGTATTCCTGTATTGTCTTAGACTGCAAAAAGTTCTTAGATTCTGGTGCGTGAGGCATGTGTTGTTTAACTCACATCGACATACAATTCTCATGTGGCAAAGACATTTAATGTATTATTCATTTGATTTATATGTTGATTTATTAATAATTGCATTACAAAACATGGTGACAGTGACGGAGTGGTGTTTATGTAAACTTAATAAAATCCTCTCTACTCAACTGAATCATTTAGAACAAAGAAACATCTTTCCCTCGCCAAAATGTAGTGATTAGTCCTTGTATATGAGAAATATATTCTTTATCTGTTCAAAATTCCTGTACAGTTGCAAATCATACAGACAGAATATTGGGTGATCGTATTTATTCGTTTTCCTCGAAGCATATAAATTGTTATAGCTAAAGTCTCTTATTTTCAGATCAAAGACGAGGATATTTACGATGACGTGCCTTTTATAACTGAGATCATGGAAAAGTGTTATGACAGATACATTATCGACAATTATCAGTATACTCTCATCCCCAGGAACGTTATATATGACGGTAGAAATGACGAAGAAATATATGACGTTATACCTAGCTTAAAACCTATGTTTAAGGCATACTTTCCTTCATGTAACATAGTAATACAACTACTTCATAATTGACTATTTTCGATGAAAGTTTTAAAAAGGGAGTAGCTATTTTTCTTTGCACTTCATGTGCTTGTTAAAAATTTGCATAAGATAGTCTTATCTGTTCTTGAGACGGCAAGGCGGTACATAATATGAAACGCTGAAACTGATGGAAAACTTTAGCTTTACTGTATGACAGTTATCTCGATCACTCAAAAGTAAGCCAAAAATAAACAAACAAAAAACTACTGCTACATGCCTCTAGGTTTTGCATGGCGTCATAATTATTATTTTGCCAACAAAGAAATTCCGAATGCCATAATATTACCATCCACGTAATTGTCTTGATTCGTCGAATGATTTTGGTACATTTTTAAATACAAAATCACTCGTATGATTACAAAATCACTAGTACTTTTTCCTGGGTAGTTTACCTTTAATAAACATTTTAATTTCAGACATGAAAAGTATTGATGACAACAGCAAGGATAGAGGATTAAATGCTAACCAAAGAATGTCAGAGGAAGAGGTTCTGCTTGCTCTTCTTGCAAAGTGCGTCAAAGCAAAACGTGTAACAGAAATACAGGCACAACAAATAGCAAAGACATTGTGTTTTAAGGTACCAGATGTTGCATTATTTGGTTGTGTAGTTTGCTTTGTTTAGGCATGATGCCTTGATGAAAATGGAAAGAATATTAAACTTATCTGTATTACAGTTACCAGGATTGCATTTAGCCTTAGCCCAATGTACTATTAAGCTTTTACATGCAGCAAACAGTAAACAATTTATCCAAATACATATTAGTTTTAATTAACAGAAGCAAACGCAAAGTGCACGATGTCGTCGTTTACGAGAAACATCACCAGTTTTTTAATCAATGCCTACAGCCATAAATTTCTAAAGTTTTATCAAATCAATACAAATGATTGCGTGTCAAGAAACAATTGAAAATGATTGCTTTAGAAAAAAATCAGACAGAGAAAATTTCGTTTAAGCAATTCAGTGTCATATTACATCATATGTGTATTTAATTGAAACGTCCAATTTTTAGACGGGCGCTTATCAAAGCACGGAAAACTTTTACAACCTTTCCGCCCCTGGCATTCAGTATATTTCCACAAAAGTGGAGCCAGTTTACGAAGTTATCGAAGATGATAATGGTAAGCTTGAATTTAATCACATATATTATTTCTATTTTTGGAATGCAATTGAAGAGATGAAGTAATCATGTAAATTGTTAAGTAAAAAGACTTAAACAAAACTATACCGTGATGGTTGAACATTTTTAATTTATAGTGCCCACGCAGTTGAACACAAAAATACAAATAGAAACTGCGGTTGCATTATTTAGCTCTTCTACGCAATTATAGTTTTGCGTATAGTCAAACTTTCTCTCTTTAATTTAACGTTATTATAAACTGTACAAATGCGTTTATTTTACAATTAAATTTGCTGCGAAGAGTGGCGAATCCAACTTTAGTCAAAACTAATTATGCCATGCAATCAAGTTGCCTCTGAATTATTTTGAAATATAAATATATCCCAATACGAACTGTAGTGATTTATTTTTACTTACCCCAGGTTTGTTGTTGACTGCAAATGTGAAATTAACCAAAGCTTATAAAGCATATTCGCATATTTGTCTTTTTTATCTCCTCGACAAGTTACATGTTGTTGGGTCTGCCCAATTTACTATATTGAATCAGTAGCATTTTAGATTTCTTAATTTGGATATTATGCAAGACTTGTTGGAATTATTGTTGAAATCTTTAGTATTGGAAATTGCCAATAAACTAGAGGAAGATTGGAAACCGCTTGGTAGAAAGTTGGAAATATTTGAATCAGAACTGAACGCGATAGACGCCGATTATAAATTAGAGAAAGAAAAAGCATTTCAAATGCTTTCGAAATGGAAAAAAAAAAATGGAAGAGATGCCACTACGGAAAAATTGGTTCACGCCTTAATCAATATACATCGTCTAGATCTTGCAGAACAGTTGCGTATGCCACAAGGTAATGGCCGTCAAATGAGATACCGTAGTGCCACCCAATTGTTTTCATTTAAGAAAAGCACATTGTAGCGAAGCATTAAGGAATAGATTAGCGTTTTGTAAAATTGATATTTGGTTATTGTAACGCATCCGTGAAAACTGCGTGTGATATTTAATTGTCTGAATTTTAGAACAAGAGTTGAACAACGTTAAAGTCTTTAAAGACAGGTTTCTCGACGAGGAATACAATCTTCGAGACGACATACATGACATATTGAAAAAGTAAGTTTTTTTGAGAGGACTGGAGACTAATATCTGAGTGTTATGTAGAGCATAATTGGATAGTTGTTGATTAAGAAGGGGCCTGGACGAATGCCTTCTGTATTTTGTTCCTCAATATATATTTTATAAGATCCTTATTTCGTGAAATAGACTAAGTCTTATCTATGATAAACAACAACTAAGCCACCTAAAACAGCAGACGAGATAAATACACACGAAAAGATCGGACGACCCAACACTGTGAGTATTTCAAAACGCGACACGCCGTCAGCAACAACACGAAACCTATTTGGCCAAGGGGCAGGAGCAAATCTACGAAATTTATCAACCCAAGGGAAGCCTTACAACCAAAGTAATGATAAATACCGATAAAGGCATCAATAACACTCTCTCCTGACCCTGAGATAAAGAAAAAATTACATTGTAAACCACCATCTTATCGATTGCGAATATTTGGCGCCATTTTTCCGACGGCGCTGATTAACTACAAGTACTTCCCATTCACTATTAGCAAGTCGTAACTTAATGCGTGACGAAAATGCCGAGGTAAAAATGCTCCTGTCCAGACTGTGAATACGAGACAGAGGAAGATGAGGAACAACTCGCAGCGGTATTATTAAAAATTCACTCGACTGGCGTTCACAACAACAACCAAGCGACAAACACACCCACGAAAAAAAATAAAAATTCAGAAGGTCAACCATATCCGTAGCCAGGTACGGTGAGGTGACGTATTTCCTAACACGTTGGCAGGATTATGTCGAAGACACAAAAATGACCGGCAAATACAAAGTCATCCAATTACTCGAATGCTGTGACGAAACGCTTTGTAAGGACCTCACCAGAATCGCTTGCGGCACCCTCACAAACAAACCCATCGACGACGTTATGGCTGCAGTCCGCAAACTCGCTGTAAGAGGGGAAAACAGGATGCTGGCCCGTATCAAACTACACAACATGCGCAGGATCGTAACGAAACCATTCGCAGCTTCGGCGCACGTCCTCGTGGACAAGCCAGCCTATGCAAATTTACGATTAACTGTCCCAACTGTGCACCAGAAATCAACTACGCGAACAATATCCTCCGCGACACATTAACCGTTGGGATCGCCGAGAGCGACATCAACCTAGACCTGCTCAGCGATAAAAATCAAAATATGACACTGGAGGAGGCATTTCTGTTCATCGAAGCCAAAGAAGGTGGCAGACGTTCGGCCACACATCTCCTCAACAGCCAAAGCATCGATGCAACCAGAAGCCAATATCGCCGCGCCAAACAAGAAAATATGACCCAGGGCGTGCAAACCAATAAAATCGGACTATGTTCCTACTTTGGCAAACATAGCCATGGTAGGAACGCCCCACCCAATATCCGACGACAAAAATGCCCGGCTTACGGTAAAATGTGCGAAAACTGCGAACGCCCTAACCACAACGCTTCCATGTGCAGAAGCAAAGACAAAGCTAAGCGTTAACAAAGCACAACGCAAACCGAGACCAGGAGAACGCAGTGCTTGATAGCCTGTGCATGACCAACAGCCAGCAGCTACGCAACAATGGCATCCTGCTCGATCACCACACTTACAACGACCTCAATGACCGTTGGGTGAAACAACCGTCACAGCTCCATACAGCCCTCGGTTACACCCTAAATTGTACAAGATCACGCACAGCCAAATTGAGTGCCATGGAGAACACTGGATGCCAGAGCTGCCTTGCCAGCATACATATAATGAATCAACTAGGACTACGCCAGAAAGGTCTCCTTCCGGTGAATATGCGCATGCACGCTACAAACAACAACGGCATCGATATCATCGGTGCAGTTATTGTGAGATTCTCTGGTCAATCCAAAGACAGACATGCATTGGAGAGCCGTCAGATTTAATATGTCACTCGTGACTCAAATAAACTTTTCCTCAGTCGTGAGACATGTGCCGCCCAGGAGAATCAGTCTATTCAAACGTTGTGAACCCATCAGTCTATACAAACCAGTCTATTCACGTTGTAAACCTATCAAAAGAAAACCCATCAAAGCACTCATGTGACTGCCAACGTCGTCAACTGCCACCACCTAAACCCACAGCACTGCCCTTCCTTGCAACCGAAGAAAATCAAAAAAAAATTAGAGGACTGGCTGCTCCATCACTACAAGTCCAGCACGTTTAACACTTGCGAGCAACAACAACAGCAACTCATTGAATGTCCACCAATGCGACTCATGATTGACCAAAATGCGAGACCTAAAGCACACCATACACCAATCCTAGTCCCTCTAGACTTGCAGGACGAGGTGAAAGCTGTCCTTGACCAAGACGTGGCCCTCGGCGTTATTGAACCCGTCCCAATCGGCGAGCATATCACCTGGTGCCACAGGATGGTTATCTGTGGAAAAAGAACGGTAAACCACGACGAACCGTTGGCCTACAGGCACTAATCGCAAATGCCACTAGGGAGGCCCACCACACCCAGAGCCCTTACCACCAGGCACGCTTTGTCCCTAGTGGCAAAAAGAAATCAGTGCTCGACTGCTGGAGCAGTTATCACAGCGTTCCCCTTCACCCAGACGGCAGACACCTCACAACCTATCTCTCCCTGGGGTCGCTATCGGTATACGTCAGCGCCGCAAGGGTACATTGCTTCGGGGGACTGCTACTCACGCCGGTTCGATGAGATTGTATCACACATTTCAAACAAACCAAATGCATAGATGATACTTTACTTTGCGTGGGTAACCTCACCCAAAGTTTCCATCAGGCTGTTGAATGGCTAGACATCTGTGTTCGAAACAGCATTATCCTCAACCCCGACAGGGTTTGAAATCACAACAAACTCTCTGCGCCAAAGGTAGAAATTCATCGATGCTATTCGCTATTTCTCAAAGCCGAGCAGTATCACGGACATCCGTTCTTGGTTTGGCCTGATCAATCAAGTCTCATATGCATTTGGAGCCACTGAACGTACGCTACAGTTTAGAAAACTGCTAAAACCCTGCACGAAGTTTTATTGGGACGAGGAGCTCAACACACTCTTTGAGGAATCCAAATCCGTAATCATAAATAAAATCCATGAGGGTGTTTGCATCTTACCTACACCAACCATCTCACCAGCCTACCCCTTCCAGTGCATCTGTGCGGATTATTTCCACTACAAAGGATCTAACTATCTCGTAATTGTAGACCGTTACTCTAACTGGCCTATTATCGAACGAGCCAAAGACGGCTGCGACGGACTAATCAATTGCCTACGACGTCTCTTTACCACCTTAGGGATTCCAGACGATTGCGCTACTGACGGTGGAGCAGAATTCACCGCCTTCAAAACACGGCAGTTCTTCAAACAATGGGAGTACACCACCGCCTCGCCTTCGCTGCATTCCCGCACTCAAATTGTTCCACCGAGGTTGCCGTTAAAACTGTGAAACGTCTCATCACGAATAATGCCGGCCCTACTGGTAGCCTCAACACAAATGACTTGCTGTTTTACAATATCGTAATACGCCTCATACCGATACGAAATTATCACGGGCCCAATGCGTCTTCGGTAGACCCATTAAGGATTTCATACCAATTTTAACCCGCCGTTATAGGCCTCATGCAACCTGGAGCGAAACACTCGATGCTCGAGAGGAGGCTTTACGAAACCGCTACATGAGATTGGCGAAACGTTGGTCAGAACACACGAGAAGATTACAACCTCTGTCCATTTGACATCACGTAAGAATACAAAACCAAGCAGGAGCGTACCCCACGAAATGGACAAGACTGGCACAGTCATCGAAGTCCTTCAACACCGCCAATACCGCGTCAAAGTTGACGGGTCCAACAGAATTACACTAAGAAACAGAAAATTTCTCCGGCAATTCACACCTGTACAAGAGCAGTCACCCAAATATACTACTGATATGGACCTGCTGCTGATACCAAAAGTCTCACTGGACAACCCTACTCCCAACAAAATAACACCATCCAGCAGAAAACCAACACCGTCATTACCACGTCTAGGAGCGGAGACACAGACTGATACCCAAGAGCCAGCACCACTACCGAACATAGATACCGCAGATGGGACTTCACCAAACGCAACCAAGCTACCTGAGGATGTCAGAGAACCCACACCAGCGACCAAATAGCCTAGCAAGTAAGCACCACTAGCTCTACGCCGATTACTCGATTTCAGCAAGAAAGGGCTATTTGAAAATTGAGATGATGAACAAATATCAAAGGACAAATTTATATTACGCTTTCCAAAACTAGAAAAGACTTAGGGGTAGAGCATAATGTGATAATCCTTAATTAATAAGGGGCCTGGAACCGACTGTTATTGTTGTTTATCATTCGTAAACGAATGGCTTCTGTATTTCGTTCCTCAATATATGTTTTACAAGATCCTTATTTCATGAAATAGAGTAAGTCTTATCTATTATGCAATGTCAGTTTTCTAAAATTGGTTTTCGTATAATCTAAACCACCGCCAGACTTTACAACAAAACGATTTTACTGAGGCAAATTATCTGAAGCAACGATTGCCAACAAATAACTTGATCTTAATTGCAGGGGGGATGGCGGACAGCATGTGAAAAATTTTTCGATGACAATGCTCTAAAACTGATATAGCACGTCTTTTTGTGCTACTTGTTGCAGTCCTGATAAACTGCTTTTGGAGTTGAGACATGTATAGAAATTATCTTATAACAACATCCATCACCCAAAACTAGAACACATTGCTCATTTACTATTCCTTTATAGATATTTTTTGTTCCATACTTTTAGTTTGCCGTGGGTTTGTGAAGCTTATGGTCTACTGGGTCCAAACGAAAACATGCCTTATGAACATTTGTATGTCACAGTTGATAACGTAGAAAGAAAATCAGAAGATATTTTGAGAAAAGAAATTGATGATATGTTTGGTTGGGAAGCTTCGTTTTTTATTGAAATCAAGAATAAACCATCAAAAGCAGTAAAGTTTCGACTGTTATCTAACCTCCGCCCTGAGGATAGCACGTTGCCATTCAATGGCGATATTCACATTCAAAATAACGATAGTTTTCATAACGATGATTTTCACGTGAACAGCAGCTCTCACGGTACTTTAACAATGTTCTGTCGTAACAAAGAAAACTATTATGCATTGACATGCGCTCATGTTGCACAAAATGAAAATGATGGGAACAAATATTTTTATCAGCCACCCAACTGTAACAAAGAAAAACCACTTGCACTTGGTACTTTTCCCTGTAACACGATCAATAAGTATAACAGTGAAGCAGATATCATGTGTATTCCAATCGGTAAGAAAGAAGATTTTCAGCGGCTCGGTGGAAATGAAATGAAGAGTCTTGCCTTGAATTTGAAAGAAACAAATGAAGAACTTTACAAAACGGCAATAAGCAAGAAAGGGGTTGTGGAAGTTCGAACAAGTAATCAAATTACGGGCTATATAAGTGAGCGAAATTTTTCTTTCATTGACAAAAGTTCGACATTTATTTTCAAAAATGCTGTGAAAATAAAAAGTCGTAATCCATTTCTGCAGAATGGTGACTCAGGAAGTCTCGTTTATTTCAAAGATCGAGTAAATGTTTGGCGGCCTTTTGCTTATGCCGTGTGCAAGATCGATGATGGTGATGATGGCGATGATCATGTTTATGAATACGATAATTATGAAGATGTCAAGAAATACTATTTGTGTTTAAAATTGGATAAAGCTCTGAAGATGCTCGATTTTAAGAACTCTGAGTACTTTCACAACAATTATCTCGTAACATGAAAGCTTATTGCGATATTTTAAAAATTGTTTTTAGTTTTGCACTCAGTTATATTAACCAGTCATAGTATCGAATCTCATGATAAATTATTTTAACTGAGGAACTGCACTTTTGAATGAAGAAACCGTTTTCTGTAATAATGGAAATTTGCAAAAATTGTAAGACAATGCCTAAGAACAATTGTATGCAGGAGTATTTTCTCCCAAAACTATAAGCTTATGAATAACCGTGGTTTTCTATAGTAAATCTACATATAAAATGAACCTAAGAATAACTCAGTAAAAAACTAAAAATTTCCACAAACTATAGACTCGTAATGCACAATTTTGTGAGCTTTAAAAGAATTGCAATATATTTAGGTAAAAAACTGTGTCGCAACATTTTTCGCAACAAATTCCTAATAAGATCAATGTATTAGCTATTTCAGTTTAAAACGGTTTTTATCAGCATGCATCTGATTCACTAAAACTAACTCTAGTCATCTCCTAAGTTGAATCTTTCTTTAGATCATTAACTGTTTACTTTATAGAAATATTTTTTGAACAAGAATACAACAATTCTAATGTTTACGGTATTTTTCAGATACACATCTACCCAATAATAAATTTTAAAATTTGATATTTTTTCTGTTTTCGCCTTGCAAAAACACATTCCTTAAAAACTTTTATAAAGGATTACATTAGTACAATTTTGGTTAAGATTATACAACTCAGAAGTAAGTTTTGTTACATTCATAGCTATGTTACACTTTGTGTGTCATTTATCAAACTATTATTAATTTTAACCAATTTTTTGAGGTTTATGTTATTGAATATATCAACCAATTTTAAATGCGTAGCGAAATTTTGAACCAATTTCTGTTTGATCGTTTTAACAATTGGCAACCAATTCAACATTTGGTAAGAAATAACGAATTTTATATTGGTCCCTTTTTTTAGCAATTTGTTGTTCTGGTTGCATCCGAAACTGACGTTTCTTGGTTGTTTTAGACACAAAGTTTTTACAATGTGCAGTAAGATCCCAGTTGATTAAGATTCTTTAAACTCCCAAAACCGTCGGGATACTAGCTGTCATCAATTTCAACTCCATATCAACATTTTTACTTAGACACGGTTTGAGCAGTTCTTCTCCGATCATTTTGTTAATATATGACAAATGAAGATTGAAATGTTTTTCGTTACTTGATAGTCACCATTATTTTTTTATTAAGCTTTCTCTATCAAAAAATCCGGCTTACGGATGATAACATAAAAAATAATTAATTGGAGGTGACTTATCACGAGTTGATTAAAAACCCAAGACACAATTTTTTTGTTTGTGCGCCAGATTTGAGTATTTTCGCAGAAGGCCTTACTTTTCATGCAATGTCTTACATAACAATGGATTTCATTAGCAATATTCAAGCCACATAGCCATATCATAGGTGTTTGATACAACATGTCACAACTCAATGACGTAAGCCTGTGTGTGTTTTGCAAAATTTAGCTCAAAGAAGGGAAAAAAGCCTGCTAGGAATTTTTCTTTTCCAAGAATTGATTCTGCCAATTTCGTTTAATGCCCATCTTGTGGTTCTTTTTAGGCTAGAGTTACGGTTTCACACTTTTTCATACGGGTGTTGTGTGAACATTACCCCAAACCGTAAGAGTTTCAAATCGTTTCAAACTCTACCGGTATTATGTGAACGGGGTCTCAATTCAACGTATTTATGCTTCCAGGCATAATTATTTGCATTACTAACACAATAAATAATAAGTAAGTTACCAATATACATTCCTTTTGCTGTAAAGAAAATGAACTTGTTGTTTTAGGAAATGTAGTTTTAAAAAGTTTCTTAATAAAAACCAAACGTATACTGTAATAAAAATGTCATTTTCAATTAAGAGCGCGGTGTAATTTGGCAGACTTCTTTTCAGGTGTTCAAACAACAAGCATAGGCTAAGGACATTGTTTTTTTAAATCGACAAAACAAAAGGCAAACTTCATTAACGTTTAAATGATAACAATGAGCTGCATTTTTTAAGTTTATCACTTTTGCCGGAGTTTGTACGATGTGTGCAGAAAGTTCATCAGCACAAATTGTCAAACGTAAATGCTACATACTGTATTATCTAAATGGACTCTGCACGCTACTTTGACCAAGTCACTGACTATAATCTTTAGATATGCTATTCTAGATTCTTCATTTGAATGGTGTTGCTGAAACTAATTCCTGTCATGCTTGAGCAAAACTTGTTTAAAGTCCTGTTTGATTTTCTTTGGGAAAGAAGTGAAGATGTTTGGAATTAAAGAGGTCAGTTACACAATCACTTTTTCGTCGCGTGATTGAGAAATAAAAGTTGTGATTGTTAATTTGGAAAAAAATATTGTAGAGTATGTTCCATGCTATGCTTATTCTCTTGGATAGATTGCCAGTGTGCATGACTATCGCAAAGAAGTCGTGTAGTTTTCTTATTTTTCATTGTAGTAATGCATGTGTCATTCTCTCAGCTAGTGATGCTTTAGTAAGATTCAACTGGAATTGTTTAGTGCAGCAGGACTAAACTATTCTGTGCAAATGAAACTAGTAATTTATAAAAGTTCAAAGATGTGTCCATATAAGATATTTATTCACAGCTTTAGGAATCTACAATACTATTACAATTTAAGCACTTTTACAAGACATATATTCAAAAATTTTCTTTTAATTTTTTATGAAGTACGCAAGTTAAAAAGTTTTCTATTAGTTTCTTAGAATAGTTTCCAAAACCGTTTTCGATCACATTATTCTCCAACTGCAAACAAATGTTCCACAAGTAATCGCATTCATAAAATTGGGTTTAAATTCTTTGTTTTTCTTTGACTTCGCCTCTTAACATATTTGGTGGTCATGATCCCTCTTCTCCACAGTCAGTCCTGGGTATCTTGTTCTTTAAGTTCACCTTTCTTTAAGTTCACCATTTTTTCGTCTTTTCCTATACTTCTCCCACCGTTTTTTTGGATCTTCTTTCCATGCTTAGTTTAATTAGTTTATCAGCTCAATAAATGAAAATACCACTGTAAATAACTTTGTTGCACAGTTGCTCATTCCTAATTCTGTTTCCGCTGTCCTTCTTCCAATTTCCTCATTCTTCAACAAGTTTTTTTAAGACTATGCCGAACATCATTCTTGATATTTTCATCTCTTCTGCGCAAGAATTTTTTCGTCTTTCCTCTTTAAAGGACAAATGCAAGCTAGAAGACAACTTTATTTTATTGTAATGCCTATAGCGTGAAAATAAGACGTACCAAGTTTCAAAGTCGTCCGCAAAATATTTCAAAAGATATTTAGGGTTATAATCGGTAAAAACACGATATTCGATGACCATTGCTAAAACGCTGTGAGATTGTTTAAGTCTGGGAACTGGGAAAGAGTGACGTATTTGCTGACATAAACAAGCATCATTCTTATATTGTTCTACGACTTGCACACAGTGCTTGCACGGCTTTCGGTAGTTTGCTATTACTGTTTTTTATTTATCAAAAATTAATGGATTCTTCTTCTGAAGAAGCCGATTATGATATTGTCATCAATAACAATGAGGTACAACCTTACATGTTTGAGCCTTTGGCCAACCTGTAAGGTGGTCAAAATGATGACAATTCTTCGCCAACGTAAAACGAAGATGAATACATTCACAGAATTGCAAATGTTGAATGGTTAGTTGCATTTTATTTATTAATGCAATGATGACTTTTTTAAGCAATGATAAACAAGTCATAATTATATTACCTTGCTTCCATTGATCTGTAGAAAAAATGGATATGCTTTGGTGCAAAAAGAATCACCACTCGGTGGAATCCTTCGATGGATGAAGTCTGCTTCTGATAACTGAGTTTTTCAATATCTCTCATGAGATACTTGGACTCGACAATCGAAGATAACTCAACATAAGCTTTTGAACCTAAGATCAGAAGTTAGTTAACAAAAAAAAGAATGTTGATGTTACTTTGAAATGTATTCGCTTACAATACCCTTTTTTATCCACATTCTAGGCTCTAACATATCATGTTTACATTTTGGGAATACATCACTATGTCCCTCATGGATGTCACATATATGGTTGAGAACAGACAACCAATTTGCCTTGACAAGTTCTTCATCACCATTGCTGGAAGCAGCACACCAGTAAACATGGTTGGATATTGATTGGGCCCGATCTGAGAATAGTTTGCAATCACTTTCTTTTGATGCTGCCAAAATTTTCTTTTTATTCTTGTTAGATTTTGATTATTGATGAAATGTGTAAAAGGTTTGTTTGTTATGACAATCTATACCTTTTGCTACATGCCATACATCAAAGTAGTGCTCGATTTTTGGTCTTTGTTTTGACATGTAGGATTTGATTTGAGCATGTCTGTCTGTGGTCATTGACTTCACCTTCATCCCACTTTCATCAAACTTTGCCAGACATCTCTTTAATCCCTCAAGTTCCATTGCTCCAGAGTTGGAAACTTCATTGGACTGTTTAACATAATTATGTGAGTATTCTAGTCATGTTTTATGTACAGTTGTAGAAGAATTGTTACCTGAACAAGTTGTGTGTCTAAAATGTTGTTAGATTCCAAATCCATGCAGTTATATGACCCATACTTGGCACAATATCCAGTCTAATCGCATCTTCCATCTCCTCCAACGTTAATGTTCCTTTCTCTGATTGGATCTAGAAGATGCTTTTGGTGCCTATGCCAAACATTTGAAACACTGGGTATCAAATACGCTGTTTGAATATAGCTATATGTTTGCTCTGACAGAAATTGTATGCCTGAGTGACGAAGGAATTGAAGAACTTTGGTGGGGTAGCCCACTAAACAAGATGCTGGCAGCAAAGACCAAGTTACCCAAAGGCATTCTCCCATGCTGAGGTTTTCTATTCCAGTCTCGTAATAACCACAATGACATTTTGCTAGTACGTTATATTTTGCTCTTTTGTTTCAGTGGTTCTTGACCTTACCTGTTTTGGCGGACGGATTGTTATGGCTGCTTGGCATTTCACATTGCGCTTCTAAGGTACGTTAAGGAATTTTCTATGAGTTAAAATAACACAGAAAAGAGCAAACGACATTAGTCTGAATTAGTTACCACTGTATAAGTTTGTGTTTCGCTGTCTACATATATTTTGACATCATTCATCTTAGACACACTTCCTTTGAGGTAAAACGCACAAACATTTCGAGCCGATGTCGACACATCGTGGTCGTCGTCTACAAGAAAGTCGTCATGTTCTGCAAGAACGTCGTCAATAATCTAAAATTATAAAATTGTCTTCAATGTGGTAATGCAAAATAGCTTAGTTTTTGATAAATGTAAACAAATACTGCTAGCTATAACTATAACATTCACTTCTTGCCTTCGTCTCTCCTCAAATGCAGTTCTAACATTTGTTGGCTGCTTCCTTTTAGATGCTACACTTGTGGGCTCCACAAAGTATTCAAAAATCGTGGGTACAGCATCCTTCTTAAGGCGAAACCGTCCTGCTGTCCATCCTACTGATCGCTTCAAAATTTGGCACGAAGCACGAACTCTTGAAATCTTGTGAGCACAATTTTGAGCTCTTTGTTGGCTTAATTCCAATTTTTGCGTCGGATCTTTTCAATCCAAATATCTCGCATGCGCTTGTTTTCGGGAAACGAAAAAAAGACCTTTTGCTGCGTTTCGTGGTTCTTAGAAGAACCGTTTTTACAATTAAATGCGGCACAATAAACCATATTTTCAATGCTAAATTGCCGTGTTGTTTAGAAGTTACCAATATATTTTGAACGAAGCGCGCAATTGACCGCGTTTAGATAATGTCAACTATTACGTCACAACGACCTTTTTCCAATCGGTAGCCGTCGTTAGCTCGTCGGGCATTTTCAATACGTTATCAGTAAAGCATCAACTTTAAACCTCCATATCTTCAAAAATATTTATCCTTTGAGTCTCAAACTTTGGTGAACTATTAGTTGGAGCTATACCTTTATGTAAAGTACAAAAATAACAATCCGAATTTTATGTTGCATGTGTCCTTTAATGCGCAACACTCTGAGTATACTCGTCCTTCGGACTCGTGCAATTTTGATAGTCTTTGGAAAACGCACTCGTTTATGTTTTTTTCCAAATTGTACACTCGTCGAAACCATGCTTTTACCTACGCAAGCCTCCCTATACTCTTTGATGTTTTAGAAATCAACCAACTATTATTTGGTAGCGCGCCAATACTGAAAAAACCAAAATATTAGAGAAAATCCTAAACTATATATTCCAAAAACCACGAAGTCAATCTCGTTAGCAAAATTGTGCTGTGTAATTATTGGTTGTTGAATTTCACATTATTAAAACACCTCTTTTGAAATGTATTGTTTACGGTCAGTGAACATGAATGTATGAATAAATCTTCTATATTATCTGATTCAAAAATACATAGAGCTATAGCATGACAAATCAAGTCTTTCGTAATTATCCATTTGGAATAATATGACTTATTTCCATAAAATCCGTCAGTGGAGGTAGCCTGTACGGTAAGTAGGAAATATACTTGTTCTGAGAGCGCGGTTGTGTGTGTTATCTTTGATGTTCGTACGTCGGAAATGATGTATATTTGTGTTTAATGTTTGGTACTTTCAAGAAATTAATGACAATTTGTATTGATTAAATGGGTAAATAACATCGTTTATAACATCGTGATAGAATGATAGAGTTGCTATATTAGCTAGTACAATTTGAAAGTGAAACGATATGATTTAGCTAATCTTCTAGAAACTTTTTTAACTAAGAGTGACCACATTTTATCTGATTGGAGTCGGCCGTTTTATATGCGGTGCTGTTATGTTAACTTTTCATTGTCGGTCAATATTTACCCTGTGCAACTTTTCCAAATTTTTTAAAACTGGCAACAAAACAAACTTTCACTAACGTTGCCACGTAAGCAAATTAATTATGTTGCATCAGTATATTTGTTTACCGAACAAAGGTCATGGTTTTTATATATGAATATATTAACATACCACTGTAAATTAATGCATGTAATTGTGCACTAGAAAGTAGGATACATGTGTGCAAGACAATGCTTTGTGTGGAGGAATATAGTATGTTTTAGATTATATAGATATGAACAAAAATCCCTGATGTTTCTAAGATAACAAGCAAATGACCTTTTGTGGCCATGAGACTGTCATTTTTCCAAGACGAAGACGAAGTTTACAGCGCTGTAAATAATGATTACAAAAACCTTTTCTGTGTTCCAAAGAATTCGGATTTTAGCATGAATTCATATTCTAATATCTTTTTTGTTTGATTGTTTATGATGTAGACTATATTTCTCTCAAGTTGTTATAATTTTCAGTTTTAGCAATGGAACGTGCTATTGCTATTTACCAATTTCAAGGCAGAGATGAGGATGAACTTACAGTGAATAAAAATGACATCCTAGATATAATTCTAAAGAGTAAGGACTGGTGGACAGTACGTGGTAAGGATGGTAAAATTGGCTTGATACCAGTAATTTTTTTGGCAGCGCCTATCGATGACCCTTCCACTAAGGTGGTATCACGTGGAAAGATAACAAAAGAATATCGAAGCAATAGTAAAACAGAAATATCAGTTGATTTAGGGGCACAAATTGCAATTTTTGACAAAATGATGAATACTGGTGGTCTGTTGGATGGAATGGGAAGATTGGTTATCTACCAAAGAAAATCATTAAGGAATTCATGGTAATATGTTCTCCAATTTAATAAGCAATTGATATTATATGAGTATAAGCTCATATTCTTATTTGCTATTTACTTGCAGCCAAAAGCGAGATCAAACCCAGATGCCGGTATGTAATCCAATTAATGTTGCACAATGTTATTTGTGGCACATGCCAAGTCTTAATAAAGCAACGACAAAGTAATGTTTGAGAAATAGAAAACATTTTCAGAGTTTCTGCAGAGTAAACACGCAAAAAGCATGGGAGAAACGAAATATTGCGTGTGAAGCATGATAAAGAAGTGCTACTGTTTCCAAGCAATTTCGAGTTTCTCCCAAACTTTCACAATGTTTGTATAACTCAATAAATAGAACAAACAAATTTGTTTTCTATTTCGTTTGTAAAACGACCTTTTAAAAATAACATTTAAAAGATAAATTTATTCATTATGGCATGCTATTTATGTTTTCGCCATTCAAGTTTCCCGCAAACCTTGAGATTCTCGTGAGACAGAAGTCTCGCACATTATAGAGTTATATGAACACAGTTTATTTCGAGCATTCGACCAATCAGCGCCTGTGCTTTTAAAAGGTTATTTTATAATAACTATATATAATTTTTGTACAAACCATGAAGAATATTATGCTTCTTATTAATCGTTGCTTTTTGTGTGTCCTTAGATTTAAAAGCGTTTGCTTTGACAGTAATGACACCTTTAAAAGCATTATGTGAAGTAAGCTTTGGACATTGTAAATTATTTTTATAACAGTGCATCATGGAAAAAGCTAATCGAGTTGTCAAACAAACGACGAACTTTGTGCTTATAGTTTACGATACAACTTTTGATTTACATAGTAATTTTGATTTATTTACTCAATTTAATTGATGAAAACATTAGTTATAGCAAAATTTAATGGCTGTTATCATGATTTATCATTTTTAGAAAGAAATCCATATTCTGTGTTCTTTTAAAAAAACCTCTTCCGAGCGAAGGGCAATATTTTGTAACATTTAAAGGAAGGCATTCAGAAAAAATTGTGGATGCTAAATTTCTTAACGAGTTCACACTTAAATTGAATTCACCAAGTGAGTATGATTCGTTATATGCGCAGCAAAATTTCTCCAGAGTTTTGTGAATTGTCTTGTGCTTTAAAACAGGCTCGTTTATTGAGCAGTGATTTACGAGACGAAAACTTTTAAATATGGCTTGCTTTTCTAGCTCTCCTCATTGTATAAGTCGAGGTAAAAACTGTATATGGTTCTAAACCACCCTTGAAAACGCTGCATGGTATTTGATGCTGCACGAAATAAGATGATGGAATAAATTCATGCTATTTTAATCACTTGATTGTCATGCTTGGTTTTGAAAGTTAGAAAACTAGAGATAAAATTCCGATCATTGAAGCTAATTATGTCGCATATATTTTAGTATATTTTCCTGCTGAAAAGACAAGGATCACTATAAAACATCAATCAAAAAACTCCTCGCTGGAAATTATCGCTATGGAATAGAGTTTACTTTCGAGTTTAAAGTAGCTTTCGACTCTAACGTAGACGCTGTTCATAAAATACTCGAGTCAGAAACGGATCCCGTTAAATTTCTTTGCTCATCGTTTCTAGTCAGAGATCTGGCTAGCGTGGATAATATCTTATCCGTTAACTTGGAAAAGAGACTTCCGGAAGGCATTGAATTGTTGCAGAATTCAGCTAGCGTCTTGCTAAACCAGGAAGGTAGTCACAAAAGTAAATAGATATTTAAAGATTTTGTCCATCAAGGTTGATAAGGTTAAGATTTTAGTTCCACCTTTAGGGTCAAGATCTGCCCGTGAAAAAGTATTGAAGTTTTTTCTTTGTATACATCAAGTTCAATATATCTGGTGATTTGCACAACAACTATACGTTTTTAAAAAATTTTCATCTCATACATAACTTAAACCTACCCGGCATTTTCTATTTAAAATTCGGCAGTCATTCAGTGTTACGACGCAGTGATCAAAAGCTGCAAAAAACAAAAGTTTTTGCCACTTGAAAATAGGCAAGTTCATGGAGTCGGCAGACCACCTCTGTGGGGATTATTTGTCACGGGTTGTACATATATTTATTGTTTCTTTACTGCAGGTTTTTCAAAAGAAATGCCTACGTTGCTCCACTTTGCTGCTTTTTACAACCTGAGGAAATTGGCGAAGTCTATATTGCGTTCTCCGGGCGCACAGCAGGCAATGTCAATTTATAATTGGAACGGTGACAGGCCCATTAGCGTTGCGCATCTTAAAAAGCACGTAGAGATAGAAAAACTTCTCGAAGCGCATCAGGTAGCTAATGAACTTGTCCTTTTACTCGTCAGTCATTCCAAATTGTCTAGTGCGCTCTAATGCATTCATCTAAAGCCGGTTGTATAGACAACTAAGATAGGGCTTTCCATTTTGCTAACGAATAACAATTTTTTAATTGATTCATAAAATCTTGGAGAAAGCTCCAAGCTTCTATTCAAACTAGGCAATAAAAATATTTAATTTTGTCTTGCACTTGCACAGGCTGGTAAAGGCGATGAAAGAGAAATGACAAACGCAAAGTACAGACTCATTAAGGACGAGGAATCTGATGACTATAATGATAATTACTATTCATATGGTAAGTCTCTCTTCCAATTGAAAATCATGTTTAAACATTTGCTTAATGGCACGAATTAGCTTTTCTTTTTGCATATACATATATATATATATATATATATATATATATATATATATATATATATATATATATATATATATATATATATATAAATGAAAGATAAAAGTTTCTCCGGATTTAAAGTGAGTTTTAATAAGCTTTCGACTCGTTGCTTCGAGCCTTCATCAGAATGAAAATATTTATTTACACGTGCTTTTTAGCTTGGAGACGTTTAGAGCGTCTTGGAGAGTGGGTGGGTTAATGTGATTGGATGGGGTGAAATGCGTTGCCATGGGTTTTGGTGTATTGTGAGTATGATTGGTGTTAATAATATTAGAGTGTAGTGTTTTAGTTTTGGTGTTGTTTGTAGTTTTTATGTCCTTTTCCTTTAGTTGTGAGTATATGATGGGTATGTCGATATGTCTGTTTATTGTGTCGTTGTCTTAATAGACAATAAGCAGACATATCCATCATACTCACAACTAAAGAAAAGAACAAAAACAAACAACACCAAAACTAAACACTACACTCTAATATTATTAACACCAATCCTCACAATACCCAAACCAACGCAACACAACACATTCCCACTCTTTCTTGTCTCCAACTAAAAGCACGTGTAAATATTTTTCATTCTGATGAAGGCTCAAAACGATCAAGCTCATAAAACTCACTTTAAACTTTATCTTTCATTTATTAAATGCCTGGATTACAAATTTTCAAACTTATATATATATATATATGAACATTTTATGACACTTAATTAATCGTGCTCTGTCGTACTGTTTTCATGCTTAAACAGGTAGACTTTTTTTACTTGATTTTAGCTGATCCGTTCTATGATACTTTTAAACCTGGTTGTGGATATGTATGTTTTTCCAACAAGTTTGACCTTGATCAAAAGAAAATCGTTGAAAGGCGACCTGTCTTGTCAAGGACAGTGGATGACTATAAATTTTTGGCAAAAATGTCTGAAAACGAGGTCCATCAAAAATGCGTTAAAGAGTGTGAAATAACACCAGATGAGGAATCTCAAAGGGTAAAATCATCGCATCTTCAGGTAGGTTAGTGCAAATGAGCATGCCTGTAGATTTCCGTAGCCGTTATCATTATGTATCGATTTGATTTGTAAAAAAATTGAAAGTTTTTTAAGATTGGAAGGCAAAGTATTCGAATTTTTGCATAACTTTATTTACTTTAAAGTTGACTAGTGATAATATTAAGTAACAGTGAAATAATTATTGTTTGTCTTCTCATAATTGTTGCTGTTCCTTGTCTAAAACTTCTTTGAGTAGCCCAGCTATTCAACTCACTAGTATATAGTTTTTTAAATTACACATTGCTCTGTACTTTTCAGCCAGAATTTGATTTGGAATCAAGAATTCGGAAGAATAAACCTCCTACTCTTCCAACAAAGCAAGATATTAATTATGGACCGCCTATTCCAGCAAAAAAGCTAGGTAATAAATATCAAATATTTTCCAACAAGTCATATGTGCATATAGTCATATACATATACCCATATTGAGGTTTGAATATGCTTCTATTAAAATCAAAACTACTAGTTTTGATGTAGTTTCTTAAATAATTCAAATCACATACAGTACCTATAGCTGTATCATTCGTCGTCGTCTGAGCTGCAGCTGTCTTCTTGGTCATCACTTTCTTCATCACTTTCCTCATCACGTTCGACAAGTAGCTCGGCAACGCCGTCAGGATGTGCTTCCGCGATCCAATCGCACCAAAATATAAGTGACAGAGAAACATCGACAAATTTGGATGACTCAAATGCACGTAATATAATCTTGAATAATTATGTCCATTAAATTTTGCAAACAAAGCACAAATTATGCCAAAAAGTGCTGAGGCATTTTATTTTGACGTAGTCTGGATCCGCCAATGCATAAACAATCTTTAATTAATTGTCTCCAATCCCACAGTTTCGTACTATATGCCCAATGTAAGTACATACAAGAAATAAGAACAAGTGCCTGCTCAATTGATTGAAATTCTTATCATTTTTCTAATTCTTTATCAAAATTTTTACTTGGTAGACATGGTGTGAACGGATCAGCTCTTCTCCAATTATTTTGTCCATTCATGACAAATAAAGATTGAGATTTTTATCACTATCGGGTAAGTCACTATTTTTTTTTCATCTGACTTTTTCTGCCTAAAGGTTTGGCTAATATAGTGAATAATTAATTTGAGATGATTCATGGAGAGTTGATTAATAACCAAGATATAATTTTTTTTATTGTTTAGGCACTAGTTTTGACAGTTTTCATAGTAGGCTCTGCTTTTCAAACAATATCTTTCATGACAATGATTTTCAGAAGCAGCGTTAGCCACCTAGCCATACCATAGATTTCTCTGATACAACATTTCCTAAGTCAAAGACGTAAGCTTAGCTCGAAGACAAAAAAAATCAGTCAAAAATTTCTTTTCACCATTTCTGCCATATTTTGTCGACTGTATTTTTATTCGAAGCTTTTTTAAATTTGTTTCTCACATTCTCTATTATTTTCAGATGGCCTGTAAATTAGCGATTTAAATGTAGTGCATGTATATTCTATTAAGCATTAAGTAAAAATTGCAGGGGTTCGCATAGTTATTTCTTTGTAATTCTACATGCCTATGTTGGGAATCCCCTATTTACATAATTTCTTCTGAGGTATAAAATTTCACACCATGTTTCAAGTCGAATGATCAGCTTTGGTAGCCGTGATTCTCTTGATAAACTCTGTCAGCAGAAGTTGAAGCTACTTGAGTAAAGCTTCGTAGCAAGAAGTAAGTATACGATTGTTAATAATTTGTACACGTAGCTGTAAAGTTCGCAAGACGGAACTCGCCATATGTAATTGTGAGCTCCATCTTTGTAAAATATGGCTGGTTTGAAAAATTTGCTACTTATCGATTGATTTTTAAATGGTTGCTGTAATGTTTCTGAAATTTGATTTATCGATAAACTTAATTTAATTTACAAAGTTTCAATTCTTGTGTGAGACAACGCCACGACTTCCGCTAGATAGGTTTTGTTTAATTGATGTAGTGTCGATATTGGTTCATTTCTGGATTCCTAATTTGTCTGTCCGACGTAAATTTGCCGTACTAAATCGTCAATTTATTCAATTAAGTATAACAAACTTCCATATCCCTTAAGAAAAAATTAAATTGTGTAGTTTACGTTTTCTATTATATTTTAACTTTTTAACTGTTTGTTCAACATGTATCACGAGTTCATGAATGTAAGCAAGACACAATTTTAAAATGTAGCTGGGATGCTCAATATTTCTCAACGGGAAACATTCGTAAATACATTTGCCGACAAATTCATCATGACGTCGTCTTATTAATTTCATATAGCTACATTCAGCCCCAAAGTTTATCAGTAAACGCGCCAAATTTTATTTGGAAAATAACATTGAAAGTGTTTATTAAGATGATACAACGTTCTGTATTTAAAAATCCAATCATTACAGTTTTCACAATATATTTTTGTGTAGCTAGTTTTTTCCATATTTGGAATAATAATTGCATGTAGTTATATCAGACTATATTTAAATTACGCGAGTCAAGTTGAAACTAATTATTGTTTTAATCACTTTGTTTTAATGCCGAAATTTTCTTTCAAAACTGCTCCTTTTGAGATGGTTTACACTTGTTTAAAAACTTACTTGTTTGAAGTAAAATACTACGTATATGTACACAGGAAACTAATTTTTTAAATTTTTGTGTTAAATTACCACCCTAGACATTGTGCTACACTACCCTATTATTATGTTATGTATTGCGTATCACCTACAGAAAACCATTTCTCAATTTTTTTTGTACAAGGAAGTTAGTGAAAAAAAAATCAATTAAATAAACAACGCATAAAAGAAAGCAACATTAACTTAAGTTTGTAGAGATTTTGGTATGGTGTTTCATCTTCTGCAGAATCTGAAACAAAAATTGTTTTAAATGTTGCTTTTTTATTTAGTATGATTTTGATGCGCACTGCTTTTTAGAAAGAACTCCTAGTGTGTGTTTTATAAATAAAATATCCAGTTTGCGATAAGGGAGGTATATTTTAAATAAAAATTTGAGCGTGTTGACAAATACAAACTATATCTCCTCAATTATATAAGCAACTAAGAAATATACAGACTTTGGCAAACTGGCTGATATTTTTTACTGGGAGGAGGGAACATTTTCAACATTAAATGAGTTATTTAATTGAGTTTCCAGCAATACGCCTGTATTTGTAAAGATACTTGGAATGAGCCATTTTCATTGTATATAATTACTTTATGTCTGGATGTGAAGTATTTTTTTTCAATTATTTTATTACTTGGTAAGCTATGCCTCTTGTTGCAATCGCTTTATCTGATTTCAAAAAAACTTCTGACGCTGAGCTATCAGTAGAAGAACACGATTTACTGAACGTTGTTGGCAAAAATGATGAAAACTGGTGGAAGGTAAGCAATCGGTATGGAGAAACTGGATTGGTGCCTGTAAATAACTTGGCAGCGCCTGTTACTGACGAAGCCATCAAGATCAAATCTCGAGGGAAAACGTTGATTAGATATGACAGCGAATACGAAGATGCGTTGTCAGTTTATAAAGGACAAGAAGTGGCGATTTTTGATAAAAGTGATGATGATTGGTGGTATGTTGGATTCCGAGGTCAGTTTGGCTACTTGCCTAAAAATATTATAGCAGAATTCGAGGTATATATTCTGATGAAATTAATATCATAATTTTATAAAAAAACTAAAACGAATTATATAATTATAAATTATTAGCCACCTAACGGAAACGGCAATCGAGGTATGTGGATTAATAATGAATGTTTATACCATGCCTAGCTTAAGTCAATTGCATGCAATGTAAAGTTAGAAATATATTATTAAATTTTTTGACAACTATAGACCATAAAATTTCATTCCAATGATCTGTTTGTGTTTTTTAGATTTGCAAAAGTTTAAATTCCAAGTAATAGTGCCTTCAAGAGCTTGTTGTAAAGTAAGTGCTGTCTGTTGTAATACTACAAATCGCAATAATATGATTACACCACTTCGGCACCAAAATACTATGGTCTAGTTCATCAAAACAAAAAGATTACATACGACAAGAATGTTACATACAAGGGAAATGTTTTAATATAGTTTTTGTCTTGTTCAACGGATAGTTCATTCGTCATTTTTCGCTTTGATTTTCATGCGAGGACTCAACTATACTACCAATACCAGAATATTTTTGTCTTTATTTTCCTCCTTCAGGAAGAAACTGATGTCCTTGCCACATTTCAAAACCGTCTTCTAAGCAAGGGGCAATATTTTGTCAACTTTAAAGGAAATCAGAGTGACTTAACGGTTTATGGTGAATTTCTCAATGATTTCACATTGAAATTCACCACACCAAGTAAGTTTGTGGTTTAGCGCCGCATTTTCAAATCAGTATAAATTATTTTTCAGCTTCATCTTGTCTGATAAAATTATTCTTCGAGAAGTAAAGATTTCTCAAACTATATTTTATTAATTGTCACTAATTTTATGTTTTATTACAGTTTTAACATATTTTCAAATATTTTCCAGCAACTTCTCATGCAGAAAAAACAAAAGTGACAATTCATCATAAGCGATTCGGATTCCCCCAGCAGCTAATTGCTAAAGGAATTGATTTTGAGTTCGAATCTAATACAGATGTCACTTATCGCCTTCTAAAGACAGAGGATGCTCCCTTGGATTTTCTTCAACATGTACTTGAAATCTTCAACCCTAAATATGAAGACTTAAAGGACGTCAAGGTAGTTATCTGGGCATAGTTTCCAATTATTATGAAAATACACTGAGAAAGAGACTAAGAGAGCACAAACAACGCCATTTGGTATTAAATTTGATTTGAGTTGATAGTTACGTTTTGTCTTGAAATAAGAAATCGTTAGAATCATATGAATTTGGTTGCAGTAAAAGTATAAGTGTATAGAATATTTACATTTGTCAAATTTACAAAAAAATTAGACTGGAATAAAAATACGACAGATTTACAAAAATTACAAAAGCTAATGAGCGCTCCTCTGAACGTTGAGTCAAAGAAAAAGTATATACAGAAGGGTCAGGAACCATTAATGTTTTGGCCGCGCATGGTGGCCGGTTGATGATCCGAAGTCATTTCCAAGGTCAAAATATTCTCGAATTTAATATTAAGTATTGTCGTCATGTAATTTTAATGGTTGGAAACCAGTAACAAACCAGTAACAAACCCTAATCAACTGGCTGGAATAACGGCCGACGTCAGTACACGTTGAACACCTGAATGACCATTCTGTATAGCCATTCTGTGGTTGAGGGAAGAATTCTATTTGCAAAATTAAAAAAGAATTTCATAAATGAGAAAATTGCTTGACATACATGAACTGTACGTATAAAGTTTAAAGTCATCAAATCATGTAAGTTGTCTGGAATTGCGCCAACTAGGTGTCGTAGGTTGGAGGATTTTCCTGCAGTGTGTGAAAATCCTAGTTGTTGTTAGTGTCTGTTGTTGTAAGCGTGTATTTGGACTCACACCAGTCTACGTTTTTGTCTTGAAAATCATTTGTTTCAATAATTATATGACTTATGTGGGAGGTAATACTACTTGCAAATTGCAAGGCAGTAGTAAAATAAAAAACTGTTGATTAGAAGCATTTTTCATTATTATATTACAATGTAATCTGTGTTGAAATTCATTATAATCTGTGTTCAAACTCATTTTAAACTCATTTTGCAATCAGTTATCAATTTCAGATTTATGGGTAGTTGTGTTTATGTTAAGAATTTGTTTTCCCCTATCGTTTTAATCATTATCGTCAAAACTCTTATTTTCAGAGCGAGAATAATCCTGTTTACGATTACGCAACTGTTCGATCATGGAAAAACATGGAAGATTGTTACGATAAATACATTGTCAATAATTATCAGTATACTTTCATGGATATTGGCAAAGAAAAGGATGAAGGCAATTGTGTCGGTAGGATGCCTGACTTTGATTTTGATAACCTTATGAAGCAAATTAATTTTCACGTAATATATTAATACAACTATATTAGAAAGCTCTATTTTTTAAAAGAAGAGGTAAATGGTCGAGAAATAATTTTTTTATAGTTATTGTTAGATTATGAACTTTATTCAAAAAGAATCGTATTGATTTTTGCAACAACAATATATATATATACACGTGCACAGGAAGTATGTAAGATCGTACGATTGTCACGTGTCCACTGGACTATAACTAAAGAACTGAAATAACATTAACTTTACAAATTAAATACTTTATGTTATATTGTATCATGTTAACACCACCACTCAGACTCAGCTTGCTCATGATGAGTCTGCTATGTGGTTAACTAAATCCCTAAAAGTGTTGCTCGATGTTTTTCTACTTTGACTCGAGATAATGACTTTGTAAGAATGTCTGCTGTCATTTCTTCGGTTGGAACGTAACTGATCTTTATTTCCTTGCTTTGTACTCTTTCTCGAATGAAATGTAGTTTCGTATCGATGTGCTTTGATCGTTTATGCATTACGGGATTGTGACACATCTTTATACAAGATTGGTTATCTTCTCCAATGTTGGTTGGTTTCTTCATTGGGTAACCTAAATCTTTCATTAGTGCTCGTAGGTATATGACTTCTTGTACAGCTGCCGCCATAGCTTGATATTCGGCTTCGGTTGACGAAAGTGCTACAGTTGCCTGTTTCTTCACTTCCCAGCTGATTGCACCTCCGTTCCCTTCAAATTTGAAGTAATATCCTGTAGTTGATTTGCGATCATTGAGATCACCACTCCAATCTGCGTCTGAATCACCAACGATATCGAGATTGGAATTCTTCAAGAATGTTAATTGTAAATCGATAGTTCCTTTAAGATATCTTAATACGTGCTTTGCTGCTTTCCAATGTGAAATGTCTGGTTTATCAGGGAATCTTGATAGCTGATTAACAATGTGAAGGATATCTGGACGGGTTTGTTTACCAATATATAGTAATGATCCAACTAAACTTCTGTATAACTTCGCATCGACTAACTTCTGATCGTCGTTGCTTTTGATTAGCTTCAGATTTACTTCTCCAGGCGTTGTTGCTGCTTTACAATCACTCATATTGAATTGTTGAAGAACAGATTCGATGTATTTCTTTTGGTCAACGGTAATCTTGTCGTGAGATCGTAGAATTCGCATTCCTAAGAACAAGTGCAGTTTGCCACGGTCGTCCATCTTGAAATTTTTGCTCAACATTGCTTTGATATGATTAACTGCTTTTTCACTCGCACCAGCCACTATAATATCGTCTACCCAAACTAATACGTATGAGTATGTTCCATCTTCTTCTTTTCTCACAAATAAACAATAATCGTTGCAGCTACGTTTGAATTTTTCTTTAATAAGTAGACTAGCCAATGCTTCATACCAATTCTTTGCCGCTTGTTTCAATCCATAGATTGATTTGTTTAGCTTGCAAACTTGCTGTCGTCCTGATTTTGCTTTCTTGGTAAAACCTTCTGGTTGTTCTAGATAAATTTCTTCTTCTATGTTGGAGTGAAGGTATGCTGATTTAACATCCATCTGGCCAATATGTAGACCTTTTTGTGCTGTCATTGCGAGCAGGATTCGAAAAGTTTCGGGTTTACATGTTGGAGCGTAAGTATCGAAAAAGTCTAAGCCTTCGACTTGAGCATAACCCTTGGCTACATATCTTGCTTTATATTTGTCGATTTGACCATCTGCTCCATACTTTACTTTATATACCCATTTTCCTGGTAAGACTTGTACATTCTCTGGTTCGTTCACTATTGTCCATGTGTTATTGTCCATTAGTGAATCATATTCTGCTTTCATCGCTTTTCTCCAGTTTTCAGCGTGCGGTGTATTAATTGCTTCATAATAAGCCTTGGGTTCTTGCACACTTTCTTCATTAGTTGTGTTGAACGTATAGTATAATCCATACCTTTCTGGTGGCCGCCGATTTCTGCTTTCTCTAGGAAGCCAAATTTCTTCCTCTGGATTTTCTTCATCTTCTTGCTGATGTTGAACAGCAGGTATCGGTGCATTATTTTCCCCCACTTCATCTTGGATCGGTTCTTTTGTTTTCTCATCTTTCGAACGATCATCGTCGAAATCCATGTTGGGGCTCATAAGATTTGATTGTTCTGGATTTATCGTATCTTTTGCTGAAAATGGTTGAATTTCACTTTCTTTGAAGACAACATTGCGTGCTTTGATGACTTTCATTGATTCGAATTCTTGCAGGATGTAAGCAGTGCTTTTGTCATCGTAACCGATAAATTTTGCTTTCACAGATCTTGAATCCAATTTCTTTAGGTTGATCTTCCTTTTCATGACGTATGCTGTGCAGCCAAAAGTGCGTAGATGATTTAATCTGGGCGTTTTTTCTGTGAATAGCTCGAAAGGACTTTTACCTTGTTCGCTGTTGGCAGTAACGGTGAGATTTCTGATATGAGATGCTGTGGATAAGGCTCTTACCCAATAACGTTTTGGTAACTGTGCTTGGATTAATAGACATCGTCCCATTTCAACTAGAGTTCGATTATAGCGTTCGGCAACTCCATTTTGTTGCGGGGTTTCGGGTACTGTAAATTCCTGCTTTATTTTTGATTCTATGCAGTAATCTTTGAATTGCTTCGATGTATACTCTGCTCCATTATCGCTTCTCAATTTTCGAGGTAATCCGGATTCTGCTACGTACTCTTTAAATTTTTCGAATGCTTGTGCTTTCTTGCTCATGAATTTAACGACTGCGTACTTCGAGTATTCGTCCACAAAGGTAATTGCATATCTGCATCCACTGAGGCTAGGCACTTCAAATGGACCAAGAATATCTGTGTATACCAATTCGCGTGGTTTCTGGGACTTATTGTGGGCTTCTTTAGGTACAGGTTTGCATGATTGCTTTCCAAGTGCGCATGTTTCACACATTTTCTTTAATTTGTCTTCGCAGTTAACTGTGCGTTTGACATCATCTTTGTTCAAATGTCCGAGGCGTTGATGCCACAGTTGAAAATCTCCTTTCATTTTTCTTTTATTCTGGTTGCTTGTAATGGAATTACAGGAACTGGATCTTTGGAATATGATCTCCAGATGAAATAAACCTGCATTTTTGTTTAGGGCAATTTCTGGACCATGATTTAACATCAACTTTGCTTCACACTCTTTGAATACGAACTTATGTCCAAATTTGACAGCTCGGTTGACAGAGAGTAGGTTGACTTCATAATTTGGCACATAAAGGACATTCCGCAGTAACATCTCTACTTCTTCTCCATCTTTCAATAGAAGCTTTACTGGTACGTCACCAATACCTTCGATAGGTGTTAATTTTCCCTTTGGATCCTTAACATTTTTGGTATTGCATGGTTTTAGGTTGTCGAATAGTTCCTTTTTAGTAATGATGTGATCTGTGCAACCGGTATCAATGATGATATAATTCAATCTTCTATTGTCACTATTTATTTCAGTGCCACTGTTCATGCATTGAGAGTATGACGACAATGAATTTGGTCCTCTTGTTGAAGGTTCTTCGGTTTTACTCTGACTCCTACATGCTCTTGGTAGATGTCCCTTTTTCTTGCACTTTGAACAGAAAGCTGAACTTCTTTTACTACATTGCTTGGCAAAATGACCAGGGAGTCCACAAACATAACAAGTTCCTTTTTGCTTGATTGGGGCTTTGTTTTTGCTTGATGCATTTCCAGAGTGCATTGCTATTGCGCTATCTTCTCCTTGCTTTCTTTGGATCCGACTATCCTCGTAATTCTGTAGTCGAGTTCTCAGTTCTGAGAAGTTAGCTGCTGGGTTGAAACTTTCTTGAACCACGAAGTGTTCAAATTTTTCTGGAAGTCCATTAATGACTAGAGCATTAAATATTGTTTCTGATATATTTTCTCCGGCTTCAGTGAGTCGAGACATTAATTCTTGTGATCGTATGAAGTATTCGGATAACTTTTCACTTTCACCTAATTGTAATCGAGATATTTGTCGAACTAGACTTACTACAGTTGGTTTTTCTACGTTAGAAAATCTTTGTTGCAGCAGACGCCACGCTTTTGCTCCGTCTCCGACACCATCTGGCGACAAGCAGTCATGTCGTATGTATAAAAGGCTGTTGTTGTCAAGAGCTAATGCAATATGACACCATACCGTGTTGTTTCTTTCTTTGATTTCATCAATTTGTTGATTTCTCTCGCGTACTTTTGTTTCCCATTCGGCCCTTTGCTCACTTGTAGCGTCGACTGTTAACGGTGTAACTTCTTGAGGTATGACTTCTCTCCCAACGAGAGCTTTGTACAAACCTTTCGTTTGCATATAAGCAGTAAATTTTGTGCTCCATGCCGGATAATTCTCGGCTGTTCCATCGAACACAAGCCACTTTATTGTTTGACTATCCATAAATACGGTCTTGTACTATTTCTGTACTATTGCTGAGCTTTTTCTGGGCTATTCCTTGGCTATCTGGGCTACTTCTGAGCTTCGTGGGCTACTACTGAGCTTCCTGGGCCCATAACCTGTTAGATTATGAACTTTATTCAAAAAGAATCGTATTGATTTTTACAACAACAATATATATATATACACGTGCACAGGAAGTATGTAAGATCGTACGATTGTCACGTGTCCACTGGACTATAACTAAAGAACTGAAATAACATTAACTTTACAAATTAAATACTTTATGTTATATTGTATCATGTTAACAGTTATTGTGCTTGCTAAAAATTTGCATTATATTGTCTAATATTTTCTTAAGGCTGAGTCGGTGCATAATATAAAACGTTGAAACTAAACGCAAATAATTAGGTTTGGTATGCTGCAGTTAACTCACTCAAAAGTAGAGCAGAAAGTGGAAGCATGAAATTATTGTTTTTACTTCTATGTTTAGCATGAATTTATGAGCTTTATCTCCTATTATTATTTTGCTAACAAAGATATTCAGATTGCTTGAATTTTTCTATTCATATAATTGCCTCGTTGTTTTGGTCAATCTCGCAACATTTTTTATCTCCAAATCCCCCGTGATTTTGCAAATGAATATTATAATGCAAAATCGCTTATACACCTTCTCGTGAAGTGATCGTAGTTATTTAAGTTTCAGACACAAATGCCGATGATGAGAGCAAGAAAGGAGGCTTTAATGTTAACCAAAGAATGTCAGAGGAAGAGGTTCTGCTTGCTCTTCTTGCAAAGTTTGTGAAAGCACAACAAATAACACAAAAGCTGGCACAGCAAATAGCGGACACATTTTACCTTAAGGTACATGTTGCATAATTGGTGATGTATTTTTCTTAACTTTTAAGGTATGACGGGAGTGTAGGTGGAAGAATAATTGAACTTATATTTATAAATTAGTTGTCACGATGGAAGTGTATGTATTAGGACCAGTTATGTATTATATAAACTTTAAAACAATGTAGACCGTTACAATAATAGGGACTTCGTACGACACAAATCAGCACCAGTTGGTTTTTAAATTAACCGCTCTAATTTTTAGACGGCAGACGACGAACCAGTTTATGAAGCTATTAAAGATGATGGTATGCTTGAATTTAGATCACATTTAGATCTCGACGTAGATCATGGACGTAGGCTGTAGCAGTGTAGATCATGTTTGTAAATGATGATCGTCCAGGTTGGTATAGTCCTGAGAACGACTGTTTTTGTTGTTGACTGACGTTTCGACAACCTTAGTGGTAGTCATCTTCAGAGTCAAATGATGAGTAAACGTCAGGTTAGCCGTATTTGTTATCTGGTTCTTACGTCATTGTATTGTGTGTACAGGAAATCTGTATTGTCATTGTGAATTAGTGTGAAGTGAAATATTTTATTTTTAGTTGTGATGTGTGATTTAGGTGTGATGTTTTTAGTTGTAATGTGTGGGTGTCAATTGTGTATTGTCATGATGAATTAGTGTGAAGTGTAATATTTTTAGTTGATCGTTTTTTTTGTATTGTGAATAAGTCGTTTGTAAGGTGCCGGTAATTGCTGTGATCTGTTCAGGGGTGTTTGTTCCAAGTTGGTATACCAACTTTCTAATGTAAGCCGTTGTCTATAGTCAGTACTGTAAGTAATGCATTTTGCCGAATCGCAGTCAATGTTGTGCTTTATGATTCGGTGATGTTCGGCAATGTGATTAGTTTTGTCTTGTTTCATAGTAGCTCGTTTGTGCTCAGTAAATCTTATGTTTAAGTTCCTGCCAGATTCTCCGATATAGGAGGCGTGGCAGTCGGAGCAGTTTATTTTGTAAACTGCACCTTGTCGTTCGTTGGGTTGTTCTTTGTCCTTTACGTTTGTTAGTACTTGTCGTAACGTTGTGATTGGTTTATGTGCGACACGTATGTTGTATGGTCGTAAGATACGCGAGATAGTCCCAGACGTACCTTTGATGTAAGGTATCGTTGCTGTTGTCACTGAGTTGTTCGTTTCGTTGGATTCGTTGGGTTTGTAAGTGTTGCGTTTGATAAAGTCAGAGTTATACTTGTTTTTGTCAAAAACACATACAATTTACCAAAGATATCGAAGAAAACGGAAATCTTCCTTTTCTCGACTGTTTGGTAAAACATGACAATCAAAAACTACGAACAACAGTTTATCGCAAGCCAACACATACTATCCGACTACTAGACCAATCATCTTACAACCCATTATCACACAAAGCCACCACAATCAGAACATTAACAAGACGTGCACAAATCATATGTGATTCACCGGACGCTCTACAAAAGGAAAACAACTATATCAAACGTGTTTTTGACGAAAACAACTATAACTCTGACTTTATCAAACGCAACACTTACAAACCCAACGAATCCAACGAAACGAACAACTCAGTGACAACAGCAACGATACCTTACATCAAAGGTACGTCTGAGACTATCTCGCGTATCTTACGACCATACAACATACGTGTCGCAAATAAACCAATCACAACGTTACGCCAAGTACTAACAAACGTAAAGGACAAAGAACAACCCAACGAACGACAAGGTGCAGTTTACAAAATAAACTGCTCCGACTGCCACGCCTCCTATATCGGAGAAACTGGCAGGAACTTAAACATAAGACTTACTGAGCACAAACGAGCTACTATGAAACAAGACAAAACTAATCACATTGCCGAACATCACCGAATCATAAAGCACAACATTGACTGCGATTCGGCAAAATGCATTACTTACAGTACTGACTATAGACAACGGCTTACATTAGAAAGTTGGTATACCAACTTGGAACAAACACCCCTGAACAGATCACAGCAATTACCGGCACCTTACAAACGACTTATTCACAATACAAAAAAAACGATCAACTAAAAATATTACACTTCACACTAATTCACCATGACAATACACAATTGACACCCACACATTACAATTAAAAACATCACACCTAAATCACACATCACAACTAAAAATAAAATATTTCACTTCACACTAATTCACAATTGACACCCACACATTTCCTGTACACACAATACAATGACGTAAGAACCAGATAACAAATACGGCTAACTTGACGTTTACTCCTCATTTAACTCTGAAGATGACTACCGCTAAGGTTGTCGAAACGTCAGTCAACAACAACAAAAACAGTCCTTCTCAGGACTATACCAACCTGGACGATCATCATTTACAAACATGTAACGATACTGCCGGGTTAAAACCATTTACTTTAGTGTAGATCATGGATGTATCAGTGTAGATCATGATGTAGATCATGGATGTAGCAGTGTAGATCATGATGTAGGTCATCGCTGTAGCAGTGTAAGTCATGTTGTAGAACATGGATGTAGCAGTGTAAATCACGATGTAGATCATGGATTTAGCTCTGTAGATCATGATTTAGATCATGATCAGGATTTACATCATGAAGTAATTCTGTGCAAAAAATTACTTGATTTTTCAATGTTTTGAATGCATTGGATAATGCATGCCCAATCATTCACAAAAAAATGTAAATAAAACACAGATTTATTAAAAAAAGGACTCGGTAAAATGGCTTTCAGTAATATTTTGGCATGTTGAGAATATCGTTTTCAAATATTTTGCACACATTCATGTCTAAGAAATATGTGTGTATGGTGCTTAACTATTTGTATTTCCCATCAAGGTAATAATGATTTCAATGATGATGAATGGGTTAAAAACTATCTCGACGATGATTACAACATTCGAGACGAGATCCATAACAAATTAAAAGAGTGAGTACTTTTTATAGAGAGGACTGAAAAATAGTTTTCGGAATAATAAGTGCTATGCTAATCTTGTATTAAGACTGGTTTTCCCAATTATGAAGAAACTATCAAACTTGACTATAAAATAATTTTGATCTTTTTTAATCCATCTTTTTTAGAGTCTCGTGGTTTGGTGGATCCCTTGGTATTGTAAATAAATATAAAAACAAAGAGTTGCCATACGAACATTTGTATGTCACAGTTGATAACAAAGAAAAAAAACCAGAAGATATTTTGAGAAATGAGATCGATGAAAAGCTTGGATTGCAAACATCAAAGTTTATTGAATTCGAATACAAACGACTAAAACCAAATTTTCGATATAAATCAAACCTCCGTGCCGAGGATTGTACCTTACCCATAAATGGTGACATACAGATTCAGAGTTACGATAGTTCTCAAAATAACGATAGCCCTAACAGTAATAGCTCTCGCAATGATAGTTCTCAAATGAACAATATTTCTTGCAGCTCTCTGACAATGTTCTGTCTTAAGAATGAAAACTTTTATGCCTTGACATGTGCACATGTTGCTTGTGTTACAGATAAACTTTCATTGACACAAACATTTGGTGAGGAAAATGAGGTTATGATGATTATGGATAACGTTAATGCCAGAAATAAAAACGATGGTAACAAGTATTTCTACCAGCTCCTCAACTCTGACGAGAAAAGACAACTCGGGAGTTTTCCCTGCAACACTGTTAGTAAGTTTAACAGTGAATCTGATATAATGTATATTCCAATTGGAAAGAAAGAAGATTTTCATCGTCTGGGTGGAGATGCAATGGATAATATTGTTTTGAACTTAAATGAAACAAATGAAGAGCTTTACAAAACAGCAAAGAACAATAAAGGTGTTGTGGAAGTTCGTACAAGTCATGACACCACTGGTGTTATCAGTGAACGAAATTTTTCGTAAATTAACGCGAAAATGACACCTATTTTCAAAAATGCTGTGAAGGTACAAAGTAGGGATTCTTTTTTGCAGAATGGTGATTCTGGAAGGCTTGTTTATTTCAAAGATTGGGCAAATAAGTGGCGGCCATTTGCTTATGCAGTTTGCGAAATAGATGATGATATTGAAAATGCCGAGAAATACTGTTTGTGCTTAAAATTAGATAAAGCTTTAAAGATGCTTGATCTAGAGGATTGTGAACTTTTTGGAAAGAATCTTAGTTCCTCTCATGAAAAATTAATGTCTAATTAAGTGTTAGCAAACAATATTTAATCAAATATTGCGTGACAGTGGTGACTTGTAGTGGATCCGTAAACTATATCACGCATGTATAGCCAATAATTTAACAAGTGTATTATTATCATTCTAATTTGTACATCTATATTTAAGATTACGTACGATTGTGCGTATTCAATATATATATATAATTATGATTATAATGTCAGTGCTTACCAGTGCGTCCATATTTTGTAATTTAATTGACTAACCAGACGTATTACTTATTGTATAAGCATGTTTCTTAATGATATAAATTGTTCAAACTATTGAACCTTATAATATGAGAAGATTTTTGTTATCAGAAAAAAAGAAACCTATATCAAGAGTAGAAAGTATTTCGCTAAACGAATTTCAATGCGCTTGTTGCTAAGATTAATACCATTATTACGTTCTCAAGTTGGTTATTTCTGTGTATTATTCATGCTATCTATCCATGGCTAATGTGTTTGTTTCAAATACAGTGTACAAAATTTTTACTGCAAATTTTCATATTTGATTCGTCAGTTTGACGTGGCAAGATATAAAGATAATTGCAATAAGTTGGGCTATTCAATACGGTCTCCCGTTGTTAACTTGTTTCTGATCATGCAGCATAACATTTTTGTATTAATTCTTGGCAAATTCTAGAGTTTCTTTTAAAAGGACTTAGTTGTGAAAGGTGATTATGGGCACCTTGTTGATGAAAACACGATACTGGTCATGGAAATAATATTAGAAAGTGAGGGTAAATTATTGACTTGTATGCAATCTACCAAACCTCGAAACAAGCGAATTCGCTCTCATTAAGTGCTGCTCTGGGAGAGACGCCATAGTTATAAAATTTTTAATGCAAACGTAGCGATTTGAAATTGCAGCAATTATTATCTAATAGAATCCTTTATAACTTCACTTGTTTCCTAAGAAGTTGTGTTAAAGTAGACATATGAGAAATGCTTTCACAAACACGTACTTTTTGTTTGGGAATAATTGAATGTAATGGTTATATTAAGGTAGAGAGCACTGGTATCAGCAGTTACTTAAGGTCTTATGACTGTGCAATAATAAGAGTAATATAATTGAAGTAATTAAGCCTCTTTAACAACATTGGCGCGCTACGAACATAGTATTTAAACGTGAAGTTTAATTACTCATACAAAATGTGGAACTATTTTGTTCATGTTATTATCAAAATTGAAAGTGATGATAAATTAAAAATCAAGTCACTGTCCATATGAACTCATGCTTAATACATGTGTAGAACATAAAGATGCTGCAAAAACGGTCGGTGATCCAAAAGATGATCTTGTCCATGAAATTGGTAAAAAAGTAAGTATTTCATGGAAAGAGCTTGTGAGAAACCTAGGGGTAACTGGTGTTAAGTTGGATATTATAAACAAAGATGAACAAAAGGGGAGGAAAAAGCAATTCAAATACTTCTACATTGGAAGAGAAACATTGAAAGAAACCCTTCTTCGAAAACTTTATTTCATGTTTTATCCAAAATTTGCGGTAGAGATATTGCAACAGATTTACAAGGTATATATGTACAGCATTCCCCGTTAGTTGTAAGATGCTTCTAGAGTATTACATGATATGCTATCGTATATAACATTCCCAAGAGCTCAAATCTCGTCTAAACCACATATTTTTCATAAGTATCAAACCGTGTCAAATTTATAATTTCTTATCCTCTGATGATGACTTGTAATAACCAGTGGCGTAGCTAGGAAAAATAGTCACTCCCGCCAATCCATCTCGCGCCGGAGGCGCGACCCCACTAGGGGGTCCGGGGGCATGCTCCCCCGGAAAATTTTGAAATCCAGAGTCTTAGAAAAAGCATTTCCTGCGATTTCGAGGGCGAATTATTTGTTGTACAATAATTTATAAAAACCCATTTTTGTTAGCTGCATTCTTAATGTGGCAATCGTTGAAACTGCAACTAGTTAAAAAGTTACTAAAAGTGGCTCAGAGAAACGTTACGCAGGAGACAATTGTCCCCTAAAACATAATTTACTCATCCCTGCCCCTGCATAAACAGAAGAAATTTGTATTAGCACAAAAAATAATATAGTATACGACACTTCTAAAGTGCATAGAGAGAGATTTTTCTTAGCATTCTACTTGTTAGTTTAAACTTGTTTAGATTGGGGCAAGTAGACAGGGATGGCTTTATTCTTTAAAGTTATGCTTAATTTTCTCAATGAAGTACCATGTATTATACGAACAAATATCAAAACACATACTATACTCATCATTTATAAATAAAGGCCAGCCTCCTGGGTTTTTCTACAAATTTTTCAACCACCTCGTTATGCAACACCTCTGATTACCCTTTCTTTTCAATGATATCTTTGTGAATAGATATTCTACACAAAGAGCTAAGCCGACCTTGACCCATTCTATTTCTTAAATATCTTTTTAACCTTTTTAAACAAGAAAACGACCTCTCTACTGAAGCACTTGCCACTGCCAACACACCATTCAATTTTAACAAATTTACCACTTGACCTAAACTCGACTGGAGATTAAATTTGAAGATGTATTTAAGAACCTCATTACTGCACTCTTTGTGAAAGTCCTTGTCGTTGTAAATGAAGGAAAGTTGACTCTCCAAAGTTTGGATGTCAAAAAGAGGATTATACTTATCTTTGAGAAGATTGATCTTCTCCTGTGGAACTATGCCCTTCCATGTAGTAAATAGTTTAGGATTTACAAGGTCTAAAAACTCGAACTGATTAATATCTTGAAATCGTTCACTTAACATGCCTTTAATGGAATCAATAATCTCAAAATAAAGCTGTTTGTAATTGTATCTACTATCTGCTCTGGTTGCTGGTGGGCCTACTTTTTCTAGTGCAGTTTGGTAAAACTCGGTGAAAGCTTGATCTGTGCGAAGTGACACAATAAACTGCTTGAAATTGTCAATCTTGCTTATGCCATAGTTAAAATGGGTTTCCCTATTTTGAAGAATGGAATACAAAATTGTGGACTGTTCTAAAATCCTGTAAAAAACACACACTAGAAAACAAAGAGAAAGCTATCAAGATAATGCAGTAAGCCACTTATTTTACTTAATGACTCATCATCCCACCCAGCTGGTTGTTCAATACCCCTCAAAATATCTAAAAGTTTTCATAGTTTTGTGCAATACATTGATTAATCTAGAGCGATAATACCATCTTGTTTCACCAGGGCAGGAAACTCAAGGTTGTTAGATGTGAGAAAAGCTTTTCTTTTGGGGCATTGCTTGTAAATGTGCTGAATGTAGCTATATTAATAAAAAGATTTTAACAGGAGAAATTGATGAGGCTGACTGGCATAGGACCAGGTTCAATCTATGAGCTGCACAATGAACAAAATGAGCAAAAGGATACTCTTGTCGAACCAATGCTTGAACACCATTGATATGGCCAGACATGACAGAAGCACCATCATATGTTTGTAAAACCAGTTTTCTTTATATTAGAATACTCACCAAGTTTATCTTTGACAACTTGTGATATTGCTGTGGCATTTCTGTTCATACTTACATCCACAAATCCTAATTGCCTCTCCATAATTTCACTTGCTTTGTCAAACCGAGCAATAACACTTAGCTGCTCTTTGGTGGAGACATCAGATGCTTCATCAACCTGAAACTCATAAATGTGCAATCATTTATTTCCTTTCTGATTTCATCTTCAATAATTGAATCAAGACAGCTGATAAGACCATTTTGAATTTCTGGGAGACTCCAGTAAATCTTCTGTCACCAACTATATCAGATTCTGCTAGTCTACTGTGCAGTCGACGCTCAAATACAGAATCAAACTTAGCAAAACATTCGAGCAACTCTCTATAATTACCTTTGTTCAAGCTACCTTCGGACTCATTGTGACCTCTAAATGGCAACTCTTGCTTTGACAAATACAGCACGGCCTCAGTAACAGTTTTAAAATTTCTCGATTTTGTCTTACCTCCTCATTGTGACGCTGAATCTCATTTCTTCTAGCGAGGGACATAAGACAATCAATTCGTTCACTAGCTCCATACGTTTTCCATGTCTTAAATGCAGTCAAATGCGATTTAGATTTTCATGCTTCTTAGCATCAGACATAATACTCCGCATATCGTTGTAGCCATTCTTAGTCCACGATGGCGATGTTTTTGGGAAAACATTAGACATGGCCAACAAAACACTTTCTGCAAGGTTGTACTGCCACACAGCCAGTCCTTCGCCTCATACCAATCTCTCTGAAATGCTCTTCCCTTATTTTGGATAGTTAAATAAGGAGTAGGCCGTTCATGAACGATAACATTCTGTTCGACCGACGATCGAGCAGAAACGGTTTAGCTAATAAGCTATTTACTAAATCAACATCAGTTGAGCAAATCGCAGTCGCACTTGAAGCCATTGTGTCATTCACAAATACAAAATAGCAATTTGAGAGTAAACACAATGGAAAATTAATACCGACAATGACACGTAATTTGATAATCACTAATCGCTGTACTCGTATTAAAAGGTCGAATAATTACAACCTCCGCCAATTTAAAATAGCGGGAGTTCGACTATAAAAACAGCAGATTTGAGCATGCGTCAAGTCCCTTAGCCAACCAGAATTCAAAACTTCTTATATAGAATTATATTGTATGTTCTGCCCTCTGAAGATGGGCGGAATCATTGAGTTCTATAATAACTGGAGCGGCTATCTCAAGCGCGGCCTTAGATATCTGATGACGCCAAAAAAAATGGCGGATTTCGTCCGTTGCCGCTGAGATTTACCGAAATTGACCGCTTTTCCGAAAATTTCACAATTTCCCACTCCCTCCTGAGGAAAGAGTGAAGAAAATGTATGTGTGTATTTGGGATTTGGCAAGCAATTTTTGATGAAAATCACGATAAAACCTACAATTCCTAACAGCAGAGTCAACCTAGCTTTCCAGTTATCGGCTCCTACGAGGATGTATTTATAACTATCGACGAAAGAGCTATATGTCGGCTACACATCTATGAATGCGGATATGCGTCGTTTTCTTACCAGCGTCAAACTTGTTTGATCGATTAAACTCTTTAGTCTATACAAAAAAGTATATCATAGTTCATCTCCACGGTTCACGAGAGAAGTTAAGCTTATTTGTTATCATTGCTATTTTGCTTCTTTTCGTGGAAAGGCAATGGCTTTTCGCCACAATTGTAAGATTTTTACTTGTTTCTTTAAAAAAGTAAATATTAAATCTCTGGATATTTACGGATTTTCTGTAATTGAGTTTCATATTAAATTTCAAAAAGACTCAAGTCTGCATAGGTTTGGTAA